GGTAGGGAGAGCGGCGCCTCGCAATACCGGCACTCCTCTCCCCCCGCAGCCCCACCACCACCGCATCAATTAATGGTGCGGCCTCGTCAGAATCGCGGAGGATAGGGCGAGTGGCGCATCGCCATACCAACACTTCTGTTTCTCCGCGACTCCACCTCGGCTGCAACGGTAGGGGAAGAGGACACCCCTCTCGCAGCAGCCCACCGACATACATCCGAAGTGGGCTCGCCAAGCATTATCTAAATAATGCATTACCACGCATTTTGAATTTAAAAATAAATTTAGAAATTAGCCGGATACCCACCTAGCGCACAGGCTTACGCGGTAACCTCGGTGTGCAACCTCAATTAGTATTGTCCGGAACTCAGTTGTGTAATTGTAGCTGCAGCTACTTTCCTAGTTGCTTACTGTTTAATAAAACGAAAACAGTCTTTTGGATCTCACAGTATCTTGTACGTACCGTACAGTTGAATTAAACGAATCGACTCATACTGATTGCTCATGATACGAGGGTGGATTGAAAAGTACTCGGCCTAACCAAGAAAATAAACAAATACTAAATCAGTTATATTTTTATTTTTCTACATAATCACCATCAAGTTCAATACACTTTTGCCACCTCCCCTTCCAAGCATTTAGACCGTTGAAAAAAAATGATTCTTCCTTAGAGTCAAAATATGTGTCTACAGCTGCTTTGACCTCGTCGTTTGTCGAAAATCTTTGACCTCCCAAGTGCTTTTTTAGGTTAGGGAACAGAAAGAAGTCTGATGGTGCCAGATCAGGTGAATACGGCGGATGCGGTAACAGTTCAAAGCCACAGTTGTGAATTTCAGCCATTGACTGTACTGACGTGTGAACACGGACGTTATCTTGATGAAACAGGACTTTTCTTCTGAGCATTCCTCGACGTTTTTCTTTTATTTCCTCTGGTAAACGACGTAGTAAGGTGCAGTAGTAATCAGAGTTTATATTCTGACCCCTTTCAAGATAATCAATCATAATCACACCTTTCGAGTCCCAGAATACTGAAGCCATCACCTTATTTGCCGACAAAATCGACTTAGCCTTTTTAGGGGGTGGTGAACCAGGTCTTCTCCACTGTTTTGATTGTTGTTTTGTTTCCGGTGTACAGTAATGAACCCATGTTTCGTCCATAGTAACAAAATGATTAAAAAATCATCTGCATCGGCTTCAAATAACTCCAAACAGTCGCGTGAAATAGTCAATCGCGTCCTTTTTTGTTCAACTGAAAGCAGTCGCGGAACCCACCTCGCAGACACCTTGTGGAAACCCAACTCGTTGACAATGATGTTTTGAGTTCGTTCATAAGAGATGCCTATAATCTCGGCTATCTCTCTAATTTTTAATCTGCGGTCTCCCATTATTAAATCAAGTACTTTTTTAATATTTTCGTCAGTAGTTGACGTCGAAGGCCTTCCAGAGCGGGGTTCATCTTTCACACTCTCTCTACCACGCTTAAATTCTGCTATCCATTTTTTGACGGATGAATATGACAGAGCACAATCGCCTAATGTACTGACCATGTCATCATGGATGGCTTTTGATGATAGCCCCTTCTTATGGAGGTACTTAATGACGGCACGCTGCTCGATTTGCTCCATTCGCGGAAATTATGTCCGATTACTTTGTTAATAAATTTATAAAATCACAACTAATTATCGCACACGTTTCGAACTTCACACAATGAACTAGTCTGAACTGAACTAAATAATGTGGGTAGATTTGATTTTTAGAATTGAATGGATCTGTGTTAGGCCGAGTACTTTTCAATCCACCCTCGTATTATACTGGGTGATTCAAGTAGAGATACTTTTTTCAATAGCCTTTTTTTACAGATCACGTGTGAGTCGTGTCATGTTGTCATGTTATTTTTGTTTAGTATTGTTTGGCATTTCATAATGGAAAGACTTACGCCTGAACAACGTTTACAAATCGTTCAACTTTATTACGAAAATTCACGTTCTGTGAGGAATGTGTTGCGTGCACTTCGCTCAACATATGGTCAACATAATCGGCCTACTGAGCGTACTATTCGCAACACCATTACCCATTTTGAGACCCAGCATTCATTATTGGATAATATTCCACCGAATAGACCACGTCCAGTACGCTGTGAAGAAAATATAGCGGCCGTAGCTGAGAGTGTACAAGAAGACCGTGGAGAGTCGATTCGGCGCCGTTCGCAGCAACTCGGACTGACGTATGGAACGACTTGGCGCATTTACGTCGAGATCTTAAATTAAAAGCGTACAAAATACAACTTGTGCAACAACTGAAGCCGCTCGACCTTCCCAAGTGACATCGCTTCGCTCTATGGGCTCTTGAAAAGTTCGAAGAAGATCCGACGTTTTCGAGGCAAATTTTGTTTAGCGATGAGGCCCATTTCTGGCTCAATGGGTATGTAAACAAACAAAATTGCCGCATTTGGGACGAAGAGCAACCTGAAGAGATTCAAGAACTGCCACTTCATCCAGAAAAAACAACGGTTTGGTGTGGTTTGTGGGCCGGTAGAATCATCGGTCCATATTTCTTTAAAAATGATGCCGGTGCGAACGTAACCGTCAATGGCGACCGTTATCGTGCCATGATAACAGACTATTTGATGCCTGAATTTGAAGCTCGTGATCTCCGCGTCATTTGGTTTCAACAAGACGGCGCCACTTCCCACACATCGCATCAATAAATGGATTTATTGAGAGAACATTTCGGTGAGCACATAATTTTACGTTTTGGGCCGGTCGATTGGCCACCAAGATCGTGTGATATCACACCGTTAGACTTTTTCCTGTGGGGATATGTAAAGTCTAAAGTTTATGCGGACAAACCCGCTTCGATTCAGGCCTTGGAGGAAAACATCACGCGTGTCATTCGCCAGCTACCAGTCGAAATGCTCGAACGAGTCATCGAAAATTGGACTCAACGGATGGACCATCTGCGACGTAGCAACAGCCAACATTTGATAGACATAATCTTCAAAAAATAAATGCCAAAGAATGTTCTTTCAAATGATAATAAACATTCTCCATTAAATTTGAATTTTCTGTGTTTTTTCTTTAAAAAAGTAGGGAACCTCGAAATGGATCACGCCTTATAATTAAAATGACTTTTCAGTAAAACTAAAACAAACACTATAGCCTCGCGAGCCAAAATACCACCGTACACACCAAACGAACAGCGAACATTGAGGCACCTTTGAGCGCGTCAAGCTCGGCCGAGGCGACGTGCGATCGAGGCAGCTCGAGGCACGTCCACATGAGTCGAGGCGTTGGCTCGCGAGGTCGCGAGGCTGTGCGCTAGGTGGGTACGCGGCTAATCTAAAATTGCAGACATCAAATACTTACACATTTTTTGGTGGAATGTTTATTGAATTAATTAATTATTTTTCAATAATTCGTTAGGTATGCCAAAAATATCCATTCCATCCATCCATTACTTTTATAGCATATAATAGTCAACTGCTGAACATAGGACTCGCCCATAGATTGCCTCACAAAGGGGATTTTGCCATAGTTTCCACGCTTTTTTTTATAATTATTTTGAGTTATTATCAGGAAGATGCTGCTGCCCATCTCCTGTTTCAGTTTCTCTCTGTGGCCTCTTACGACACCAGCGATATGAAGTAGTGGGCATTCTTACACCGCCACTACAAGGTTGTCAAAAAATTTGCTGACCTGTAATAATTATAACTTAACAAACAATAAAAACCGACTTTAATTTGCTAAAAAATAAGTTATTTATTTGCTATCCTGGGCTGAAATTTTTCCTCTAAATGAGGGACCGCTCTTGAAGAATAACCTATTTAATAAAAAAGAGTCATCAAAATTCGTTCACAATCTCCGAACATATCGCGTAACATAATATATACAAAAAAAACACTCGAATTAAGAACCTCCTCCTTTTTAAAGTGGGTTAAAATAAATTAAATTCATCTGCTGTGTGGTGGCGACGTAAGAAAATCCACTGCCTATCATATTTCTACAAGTTTTCCTCGCCGAACCTTTCGGATTTGGTTGGGCTATTTACTCGTTCTGCAAACAAAGTATCCGTACCAATAACCCCATGATCGAAAATTCAATCATTAGTAGGCCCTATCCCAAAAAACGGAAACCCATTAGTCTTACTAGCGGAAGGATTCGCCTTAAACTTCTTAGAAGTCGGAATATGATTTTTATTTTCAAATAATAGACTGTTATTTTGTTTAACCTCGTAAATCTTGATTGACCGTGAAATTTTTCAAGCACAGATTACGTAATAACAGTGCATAGTTAGTAGGTAAACCGCAAATAATTTTTTAATCAAGTAGTATAAAATCACTACATTTTAAAGGTATATCAGGGTAATCAGGAACTATATTTATTTTAAGGTGTTATTCAGTATTCTATCCAGCTTTACTAGCCAGTATTTATTTTTTCTAATTTCACATTGTAACTTTTTTGAAAGCTCCTCATACGAAATAAAAAAAAATTAAACACATTTTGCTCTAGAATTATTTATTTGCATGTATTTTATGGATTTAAACGTATTTTTCTTTAAATTTACTACAAAAATATATCTTTAGTTGAATTAATTGATACTTAATTCGATTGAAAACTGTTTGTCGATGAATCAAACACAGCAACTATTGATTACATTCAATAACATAATTTTAATGCTTTTGTCTTCCCAATGTTCAATGGATCGAGTTTTGGGTACGAACGCAAAACTTTGGTACAATACGAACTTTCAGAATTGTGACGTACCCAGAATAATATTGAGACATATTACTACTTATTGAGAAGACTTCCTTCCTTCGTACTGAGAAGTATTCTATTTTAGTCTTCATAGGTGATAACGCTGGGCATGCAGGAGCCACTCACCATCCAGGTGGAATATAAGTTCATTAGTCGCTTTGATTTTATAAAATAATATACATAAATTCTTAACAGATTAATAATACACAAAACGGAAATATTGGAAAGATTATACAGATAAAATAACTGTCACACATTCAAACTAAGACATTCCAAATAAAACGCCTCGTAATCTTTATAAGTTTTTCCGTCGACAGTCCTATTGTTGGAGATATACTTCTTCAGTTCGTTATCAGCCCAAAACTTCAAGTTCTCTTGACCCAACTCTAAGGTCTTCTCGCTCTGTTGCAATGTCGTCAGATTGCCGCCTATTCGCTTTTTAATTTTGTCAATTAATTCTGCTTCTTGCTCTATCCTGCTGTTTATGTCTAAAACAAACAAAAAACAATTTAATTTCAATTTGTTATTATTATATTTTCTCTCACATACGATCAGTACATTATAATAAACTAAGTAACAATGAACTTATACAACTAAATAACAGCTATAAATACATTTATATATTTGTACAGGAAGATCTAGGTGGGAAACTGATGCACAAACGAGGTTACCCTGTGCTATGGGGGCAGCAGGTTCCAAATCAACAGAAGTAATATTGAGTTGTATATGACCATATTTAGACATGTCGCAAACATAAAGTTTACGTTAACCAAATAACTGATGAGGAAATAAAGAAAACTGGAGTGACAAACGAGTTTACAATTCTCCTGATGGTAAGTAGAAACTGCAGCCAATGGACATTTGCAACTCTAAACAAAAGATGGCTAGAGATGTGTTGTCCTCTCTGAAGACCAAGATGGAATGTCTCACACACAGTAATTATACTGACTCTCTGTGTCCTTCAGATCGGAACACGACAGTGCAAGCACGGCCATTTAACGACAGAAACAATTAAGAGTATGGCACCTACTTACTACTAGGCAGACTCTTTTTCAGAACAGGAGTCTTACCAACCATCAAGTGAACTTATCCCACTGTCTGCGCCGCGGAAGTTATAAACTTAATACCAATATATTTATATTGTTATAATTATAAAATGCACAGATACCTTTTGGTTTATAATAATTGTATAGTCTGTACTTCCGCGTTCGTTACAAGTTCAAAATAGTTAAATATCTTAACGGGCACGCAACCTTTTGTACCAACCATAATTATTGTATTAGAAATATAGCTACTTGTAATAGTTCTAAGGAGCTTTATTTTATCTTCCTTGTTCTATTCTAAACACCACACACAATGAGTTATTGTGTGTGGTGTTTAATTGCTGTTATATCTCTTATTGCGCGGAATAAGTAAATACATCACCGCTTTCATCCCATGGGTGTTGTACGAGTAGGGTATAGGAAACGCTCAAAAGATATCATCACTTCTGAAAAACGTTGGTTATCCTTGCCAGGACAGTGAGAGCTGAGTTGAAGATATCTGGAAGAATATCTAGTCTGTCAATCGAAATTTCGCCTGCCCTAATTATGGTTCCTTTTTAAATCGGGAGAGTCCCACATCCAGAAGTGGACTGTTAGGGATTGGATGATAGTGAAGAAAAATAATTATAAACAATGTGACTATATTTTTAGAGGTAATACCACCGTCACCATTACAGCTTATTAAAGTCCACTGCTGAACATAGGCCTCCCCATAGATTGCCTCGTAGGGGGGCTATTTGCCATAGGTGCCACGCTTGACGAGCGAGTTGGCAACCGCAGATTTTTATTTTTTGTCGTTATTAGCAAGACGCTGCTGCCCATCTCTTGATTTGTTTCCCTCTGTCGCCTCTTACGACACCCACGGGACGATATGGGGTAGTGGATATTCTTACACCGCCACTACAAGACGTAATCCCACACAGTTGAGAAAAACAATATTTTGGTTTAAATCTATTACATAATGTAATAATGTAAACTTACCAATTGCAACATTATTTTTCACCTCGGCGTTATTTAGTTCTTTAACAACGCCCTCAAGAAGTTCCTTAGTTTTCACGTCGTTCACCAGATGGCACAAGCTCCGCAGACCGACAGATGGATAGATGAGCGAACAAGAGACATCATCGGACAACCAAAGTGAATGGAGGCGGCTTATCAGTGATTGTACTGTCTCAAATATCCAGATTTTCTCACCGCTGAATATAACAAAAAAAAATATGGGGTTATTATAAGAAAATACTATAAGAGAGTTGCTAAGTCGCTTGTAACCCGTTGGGGAAGAAAGTTACTCGAATGGCAGCTTCGTACCGGTAAGCATACAGTAGGGCGGCTCCCTCACTAGATGAAAATACGACCTGGTAAGAGATACAGGAAGTCGATGGATGCAGGTTGAAGGTGGCTCGCGACAGTGCGTTGTGACATTTCCATGTGTGAGGCCTAGACTCAGGAGAGGATTTGTGAAGGGAAAGAAAGGGTTGTAATGATAATGATGATGATGTAACAGAGTTAACACTAATTAGTACTTAAAGCTATATGACGATTTAGACGTCCTCTAAGGTACCTATCTTTTTGTTACTTCTGTCTATTCTTAACATTCTAACCCCGCTTTATCTATAAATACAACAAGAAGCGAACTTTAGCTGCCATTAGACTCAAGGCCCTAAATTTTTGGAGTACGAGTCAGGTGTAATTGATAGAATTTACTCAAAAATTACTATCTTACAAGATAAGATCCCCAAACAATGTGTTCGATAAGAAGTATAAGATACAATTAAATGAAACCAGCGAGCTGGGAGGCATTAAGCCCAAAAGAACTTAGTTTTCACGGATAGTTCTAAAACAAACGAAGGTGTAGGATCTAGAACTTTCTCTGAGGACCTCTATATTCACTATGTACACGATGGATACCCACAACTGTCTTTCAGGCGGAATGTATGTGTATCATCCAAGCGGTCATAGCTATAGATGCTAGGAAGATAAAAGACTTCTCCATCAGAATACTGACCGACAGTAGGGCGGTACTACAAGCTCTGAGTTGCAATGTGGTGAACTCGGGACTAATATATGAATGCCATCAACGATTAAATGAGGTATGTAAACAAAACAATGTGACTACAATGGATAAAGGGACTTAGTGGATCCAGAGGCAACGATGGAGCAGACGAACTGGCCAGAAGAGGATCGGCTCTGGTCACTATAGGGCCGGAACCAATCATACCAATCCCCTTTGGTAACATTCGTTCACTAATAGGTAGAAACTTCACTAATCAACACGCTAAACTTTGGAAAAATCTAGTAGACACTAGACAAGGTAAGGAGGCCCTGCCTGAAATAAACAGTCGCTTAACCAAGGTTCTAATGAGATTGAACAAGCCACAAGTCAGGATAGTAACAATTGCAATCACAGGACATAGCTCCTCTAACAAACATTTATTTACCATAGCTGTTACAGATAGTGCCCTGTGCAGGGCATGTATGTAGGAGGAAGAAACGACGGCCCACGTGTTTGCTGACACGTCCGGAGGTCGCTGCATACAGTGCTAAACATCTCGGCACGCCGGGATCACTCGCCGAAGTTGCTTGCAACATCAAAGGACTGTTGAACTTCTTCGGGGAGATTTTATATCGCTCGAATAATTACATTATTCCTGGCCACACGCAAAATACGCGCTTAGACGTGAAGTTGAGGAGAACAGCCCGTCGTAAACTAAACTAAGCTAGACAGGATTACAACGCATAGTTTCTTGCCATGAAAGAAATATAATTTTAAACGAAGCTTCATTTTAATAGACGCTAGTAGTTCATTTATTTGTATTTGTTAATCAATAATATAATACGTTTATCAATAATAATATACTATGAAAGGAACTTCGTTCCAACCGAGTATTCCGCGACACTCACGCATGTTTTTTTTGTTCTAAAATATGAAATTTAAATGTTATAAAACTACTAACGGTGCACAATAGTTACAAATTGTTGTAAACTATCGTGAGGTAACATTTTATCACAAAATATTGCATACATTATGTTACCATGTTATACTAATCGTTTCGATCGAAATGTTGTATTGTTATATACGTATATACGTGGTAAAGTCATGTCGCAGCTATATTATGTATGTAGCAGGTGGGTCGGCTTGAACGAGAAAGGACCACGCTCTCACAAAGTACCAGCATAAATGCTAATGCGTAAAAGCTGCTAAGCTTAAATCTACTATGTTTCGTATGGTGAGTGTAAAAACTCGGAGACTCATTTAACTGGAATCGAAGCATACAATCTTATATCTTAGTCCTCATTGGTGACAATGCATATGCATTTTGATTATAAATTGAAGATATATATAGACGACTACGGGCCACAGCATCCACATACAATCTGCACGGCTAGCATGGCCAGGAGACATTTTATCCCCGGAAAGGAAAAAATGTTTATCGCTTAGTTTTATCCACCCTTCGAGCACGGGCACATCGGTTAATATAATATCCACAGTAGATAAAATGGGAGATAGACTTAGACTAAGATAGATTTTTGGTATGAATATAAACTTCAACCCACGTCAAATGAACTAGAATAAAATTGTCCCTTTCAAATATCAAAGAAGCATAAATTTTTAAGTTTCATTTGGCCCCATGTTACCGACGGGGGATATATTATGTCTACTCGTTATGTCAAACGGGGATATACTTCTCCCCGTTGCCGTGCTTTGGCAAAAGGACAAGATAATTTTATCTCTTGGGGATAAATTTTTGTCCCCAGCCCATGCTAGCCGTGCTGGTGGACTGCGAGTTCGTTTATTACGCTTATAATATACAAAAAACTTGGGCGTCAGATCATGTTACGTTAAATTGCGTAAAGAGTGTTAACCAGCAAGCCTCGGTAACTTTCGAGGATTTAAAAAGTAAGCGTCTTTTTTAAATATGATTTTTTTATTAAATTCAAAGGGTTATTCTGTAATTTCCATAAACTACAGCCACATACCATCGGGTGGACTGCAAGTCCATTGTTCACTTTAGGTTTATAAAAAAATATAAAAGTAATATTTTTTTTTTTATAAAAAAACAGGCTTTAAAAATTAACTTACCTATCTAAGACAAGCTTTTTGTTCTTTTCCAAGTTAAATTTCTTTAGGTAGATTTTTAATTCATCAATAAATCTTGGATTGCCATCTGAAATAAAATAAAATAAGAAGCAAAATTAATCTTAAAATTCACCAGGATTTAATTATGTATAATTATTTAAAATGTTGTACAACAGACTTCTTTATAAATTATTAAGAATAACTCAAAAAGTATTGCTCAGACCTTTTTTTTTTATAGGATATGGGTGACAAACGAGCATGCAGTCCACCTGATGGTAAGTGGTTGCTGCGGCCCATAGACATCTACATCTATCTTCGATTACGAATCAAAATGCAGATGCGTTGTCACCCGTGAGGACTAAGATGGAATGTCTCATTTCCAGTAAAAAGGGTCTCCGGTTCTCTACACTCACCATACGAAACACAGCAGCGTTAAGCTGCTATTTTACGCTGGTATTCTGTGAGAGCGTGGTCCTTCCCCGGTCGAGCTATATGGGACCACATGAGAAGCACCGTGTTTCAAATAAAAAAAGAATCATCGAAATCGGTTCACCCAGAAAAAAGTTATGAGGTAACACACATAAAAAACATTCAGTAGAATTGTGTACCTCCTCCTTTTTGAAGTCGATAGAAAACAGCTCCAACCAGTGGCTTGCTCAAGTTCTTGACATAGGGCAAGGCCAATTATTGCACGCCTCATAACGCAAGCTTTATTAGGTAGTGCTTTACTCTAGACAAGTCAAGGTTAATCAATTTTGTGTTTTTGAAATGCCTCTATCATAATCATATTGCACGATATGATATACGGCTAGTAATATACGATAATATTACTAGCCGTATATCAAGAAAGCACTTTAATTAATCTATCTTTAATTTTTATTTCAAAAAAACGGATTGAAAAAATTTTTCGTGCCCGTCCGGATGTTCATTTTGTATGTGGTTAAATTGACGTATCAAAGACCGGTTTTTTATTAGCTTCAGAATTACATCAACTGGTTCCCTATTTCATATCAATAGACTTGTACGCAGTAGTTTGGTAATTAAGTTATTTTCAAGTTTTATAAGTTCTATTACTATTCTATCGCTTTCATATTTTTTAGCTTTTGATAGACAAAGGGCAAATCTACCATAGAGCCTATATCGATTTTAAACTTTGTGTAATCGAATTATTTTAGTAAATATCATTAATTTTAATCCCTGTAGGTGACACTACCTGTTAAAATAAAAGAGCGGTAAATTTAAAACACGTAAATAATATATTTCAAAACACTCAAATAATATATTTTAAAAGGCAGATATACATGAGCCGTGCACTTTTAGATTTTTTTTATAGGATAAGGGTGACAAACGAGCACACAGTCCACCTGATGGTAAGTGTTGCTGCGGCCCATAGACATCTACATCTATCCTCTGTTACAAATCAAAATGTAGATGCGTTGTCACCCGTGAGGACTAAGATGGAATGCCTCATTTCCAGTAAAAAGGGCCTCCGGCCACTGCACTCACCAAGCGAAACGCCCTCTGCGTTACCTCTGCGTAAACCTCTACTTCACGCTGGTTTTCTGTGAGGTCGTGGTACTACCCCGGTTCGAGCCGGCCCATTCGTGCGACAGCAAAAGCTGCCGCGTGGTTCTACCACTGTTAAGATTTTGCAAACTATTTTATATTTTACAGCACAAGCATGGGTATATATCTGGCATAATTAGTACACGATGATACCGTGATCTACATTCCTATATAGGTACTATTTATAATACCTATTTGAAGATTATGCTCCAATTGCTTTCTAAGATTTCTATCAATTATAACATATTTTGATATCTGCAATGGAATGTTGTTTTGAATTTTATTACGCAAATAGCTTGAATATATTTTTTATTGAAAGAATTTTCGGTTTCATCGTGACCTCTGAAACTATAAAAGAAAATTCTTGTATCGTACACATTAACAACTAAGTAATCTTTAAAAAAGCACTACAATTGTTTTCAACTGTTCATTTTAAAATTTGTTTCGATACTGACGAGATATATAGGTAGATATTATTTTGTTCGTTAGCAAACAAAATATACATAACATCGTTAGTTATGTCTTTATGAATTCATTTATCTTCCTTCATATTATGATATTTTATTCATCACTATCACACATCACTACAGCCCCTCACAAGTCCACTGCTGAACAATGGCCTCCCCCAAAGAATGTCACAAAGCACGGTCCTGAGCCACCTGCATCCATCGACTTCCTGCATATCTACCTACCAGGTCGTCATTCCATCTAGTGGGGGGACGCCCTACACTTCGCCTGCCGGTACGAGGCTGCCACTCGAGAACCTTTCTTCCCCATCGGTTGTCGGTTCTTCGAGCTATATGGCCGCCCCATTACCACTTCAGCTTACTAATCCGTTGGGCTATGTCGGTAACTCTGGTTCTACTGCGGATATCCTCATCTCTGAGTTTATCACGCAGAGAAACTCCGAGCATAGCCCTCTCCATAGCTCGCTGAGCGACCTTGAGCTTCCTCATCCGGCCAGCAGTGAAGGACCACGTCTCAGTTCCGTATGTCATCACTGGCAACACGCACTGGGTGTACAGTCTCGTTTTCAAGGTTTGAGGTATACCTGACGAGAAGATGTGCCGTAATTTCCCGAACGCTGCCCAACCAAGTTGAATCCGTCGATTGACCTCTCGGTCGAAGTTGGACTTACCTAGTCGGACTATTTGTCCCAGGTAAACATACTCGTCAACAACTTCGAGTTTAGTGTTCCCAACAACTACCGGCATAGGTGTGATATGGACATTAAACATGATCTTTGTTTTGTCCATGTTCATCTTAAGACCTATCCGTTGGGAAACACTATTGAGGTCATTGAGCATAGTGCTTAGGTCCTCCCGCGATTCTGCCATAAGGACTATATCGTCTGCAAATCGAAGGTGAGTGATGTACTCGCCATTGATGTTGATACCGTATCCTTTCCAGTCCAGAAGCTTGAAAACGTCTTCCAATGCAGCGGTGAAGAGTTTCGGGGATATGACGTCACCCTGTCTTACACCTCTCTGCAATTAGATAGGTTTCGTACTCTGGTTCTGTACTCGGATAGCCATCGTAGCCCTACTGTACAAGCACTTCAACACTTCGATATATTATGATATTTTATTATGTATAATTATTGATGTGTAGTGGCGGTGTAAGACACTACCCCATATCGTCCCGTGGGTGACGTAAGAGGCGACAGAGGGAAACTGAAACAGGAGATGGGCAACAGCATATTCCTGATAACTCAAAATTATAAACGACTGCGGTTGCCAACCCGCTTGCCAAGCGTGATAACTTTGACAAAATCTCCCCTATGAGACAATAAGGGACGCCTACGTTCAGCAGTGGTCTTTTATAGGTTGTAATGGATGAAAATGGATGAATTATCGATCGAATCGTTCATTTGTACAATGTTTTCATAAGTTAGAAATATGTGGATATATGCGTTTACGCGAAGCCGAACAAGTGCAAACAAGACGGTTGGATATGCCTCAAATGGTCCGTTCTATTCGTTGCGTTTGGGCGTCATTGTTGCGATGACATTATGGTATTTAATTGTTACACATAAACTTGGAAAGTGTAATTATTATCTCGTAATCAATTTACGTTCAGTTAATAGGACATTAGTTCGGTTAGTAGGGCTTTTTGGCTTGTATAGAGATAGTGCTACTGAAAAATACATACCAACAGCATCATTGAATGAGTAATCCGATACATCGAATTCCATACTTAGATCGGGTTTGTTTCTGCGCCTTTCGCGTCTTTCCTCATAAAATTGACGTAGTGTAGATATTGACTCTTTAGGAAAGTCCACTTGAATACCTGTACACATTAAAAAGTAAAAAAATTAATAAATGGATTTTAAAAGTATGCAATGTCTATTAATTTCATATTATCTATGAGCCATAAAAATCAACAAAGCTCAATGCAATAATAAGCTAGGAAAAGGTTTTTGTTTTTATTTCCAATTAATTATACTGCCATTGTTTCATTGACCCCACTGATGACCCCAAATTACCTATAGTCGATCTTTATGGCACTCAAAAGAGAAAATGATATCTCTTTGTCTCTTTCTATTACCATCATTGGACTTTTAGTTGTTTTTTTTCATTATTGTAATAAAAAAAACTATAGATACCTTTGCCTCGATAAGTATCATTAATCGGTGAGTCCTTCTGGAAATTATTAAACACCGTAACAAGACACTCCTTAACATTGTGGATTTTCCTCTCAGTTATAGACAAGACGGCGAGCAGCCTTTTTAACTCATCCCTCTTTGTTTCCTGTGAAAATTTAACACTGTAAATCTTGTTGATGATACTCTTTTGGCCAATTTTGACCATTGCATCATCTTCTGAATATTTTTTTAAACGAGCACACAGTCCACCTAAAGTATGTGGATACTGTGACCCATAGACATCTACATTTATCCTCGGTTAAGAGTCAAAATGCGGATGCGTTGTCACCCCTGAGGACTAAGATGGAATGCCTCTTTTCCAGTAAAAAGGGTCTCCGGTTCTCTCCACTCACCATACGAAACACAGCAGCATTAAGCTCCTATTTTACGCTGATATTCTGTGAGAGCGTGGTCCTTCCCCGGTCGAGCCGACCCATTCGTGCTGCAACCGCAATATAGCTGCAGCATGGCTCTACCACGTATAAAAGATATCAACTGCGCTGCCGATATAACAGTGCCCCGTAAATGGAAATTCCCAATTCTGGCCATGAAACGCCCAACAATTTGCATTTGTTAAAAAAATACATGAGGTGTAAGATGACTATGGGCCTAGCATCCACTTACCATGAGGTGGACTGTGTGACTGAACTCCTCCTAAATGGCTGGACCGATTTTGATGAAATTTTGTGTGTGTGTGATTAAGTTAATCCGAAAATGGTTTAGATTCACAATTGGACCCGGTAGGTGGCGCTGTTGTCGAGATCCAGAAATCAGCCGTGCGAAACCGGGGCGGATTACTAGTGAAACAATATTTTAACATCTCCTCAACAAACGTTTACAAATCTTAGAGAACACCAAAAAATGAAAGTTTAACTTACAATTGCCTTATCAGTTGTTGCTATCTGTCGTATCGTGGTCTGTTTGTCCGTTATGTCTTCTCCATTTGTTTTGAAAATGCCGCTACGTGAGGTCAGTTCTTGGAGCAAACCTCGTAATGTATTCACCCTCGCTTCGGACCGCGCTTTTTCACATCGGAGCACTAAAAGTTCGCAGGCCTCGCCGGAGAGGTATGCCTGTAAAGAAACTCACATTTTAAACCTGGGCGATTAGTTTTTCTTTAAATAAAGAAGTGACCAGCTGATTAGTGACCGCCAATATGGTTTTCGTCGGAGTCGTTCAGCTGGTGATCTTCTGGTCTACCTGACTCACAGATGGGCGGAGGCAGTAGAGTCCAAAGGGGAGGCATTGGCCGTTAGTTTGAACATTGCGAAGGCCTACGATCGGGTTTGGCACAAAGCGCTTTTTTCGAAGCTCCCTTCCTATGGGCTTCCCTAGAAATTGTGCAATTTGATCACCAGTTTTCTTGCAGATCGGAGCATCAAGGTCGTTGTAGACGGTGCATGCTCCGACTACAACAAATGCACAAGGTTGCGTGCTATCACCAACGCCGTTTCATATCAATGATATGTTGCAAACCGGTAACATTCATTACTATGCGGATGACAGCACTGGTGATGCTCTATACATCGGCCGTGCCAATATTTTTCGGGAAAACGAGCACCGGAACAAACTTGTGTCTGAAGTCGAGTCTTTGCTGAACAAAGTCTCAGATTGGGGGCGACTAAATCTAGTCCAGTTTAATCCTCAGAAGACACAAGTTTGCGCGTTTACCGCTAAAAAGAACCCCTTTGTCGTATCTCCTCAGTTTCAAGGCATTCCCCTTGTTACCTTAACCAGTATCGGAATCCTCGGCGGCGACATATCGAGTGATGTGCAGTTTCGTGGTCACTTGGAAGAGAAGGCCAAATTGGCCTCCAAAAAGCTTGGCGTGCTCAGCAGAGCGGGACAGTATTTCATGCCGGCACAACGCCTACAACTTTACAAGGCGCAGGTTCGGCCTCACATGGAATACTGTTCCCATCTCTGGGCTGGGGCTCCCCAGTGCCAGCTCCTTCCACTTGACCGCATCCAGCGCAGAGCGGCTCGAATCGTCGACGACCGAGTCCTTTCCGGTCGGTTCGAATCATTGGCGCTGCGAATAGATGTTGCATCCCTTTGCATTTTCTTTCGCATTTACCACGGGGAGTGCTCCAAGGAATTGTTCGGATTAATCCCAGCCGCCAAATTTCACGAACGCACATCGCGGCTGAAATCGCGATATCATCCACACCATCTGGATGATTGGCGGTCCACCACTGTGCAATTTAGAAGATGTTTTCTTCCTCGCACAACTTCCTTGTGGAATCGATTACCACCAGCGATTTTTCCGGACCGATACAACTTGGGGACCTTCCAGAAAAGAGTCTACTCCTTTTTAAAAGGCCGGCAACGCATCTGCAATTCCCCTGGTGTTGCAGTTGTTCATGGGCGGCTGTAGTCACTTACCATCAGGTGAGCCGCATGCTCGTTTGCCCCCTCTCCTATAAAAAAATATATGAAAAGATATTGTATTATAATTATATTTATAATTATCTATCTAATAAATTATTTATTTATTTAATACTTTAAAAACGAATACAGTCAAGTCTGGCAACTTTACCAATGGAAGTTAACAGAACTTTTGTTGATTTTGTTATCTGTATATAGTCTAGTGTTTAAAGTATATACAAAGTGACGATGAAGTTATCACGTTAAATGAAAAGACGTATTCTATACAAAGTTCTTTAAACATACACAACTAAAAAAATATATAACAATTAACATTCTGGGCGCGGTAGCCTTTTTTTTGTTTTAATATTAAACAACATCATGTAAATGCATCAGATATCACCTGATAAATACTAGAAGTTCAAAGACCCATGGCCCGTGAAGGCCAAGAGACCTATATTGTATTATAGTGCAACGTTGCCAATTTTAAATAATCAAATAAAGTAATAAATTAAGCAAAAAATGTACTTATATGTAACAAAATAAGGCATAATTCTTATGCGCGATGCGACAAGAATTGGGACGGGGTGTTGGGAGGGTGGGATGTGGTCAGTAAGTCACTTAGTCCGACGCCGGCGTCCTTGGGAACGGTTCATTAATCGCTTGACCTAATTTTAGTTTTTCGCGTACACGTCCTTTTAATTTAAAGTTTTTTTTTGTGGATATTTTCATAAGTTTCTTGATTTGTTTGTGATAGGACACGTTAATACTATAATAATAATTGTGTTGAGGAGGTGGTGTGACTATTTGTGCGAAATTTGACGCTTTCTTTTACTGTCTTGTATTTTTTATTTGTGATAGGACTCGTATATAATAGATAAGTGATATTTAATAACTTAGTGGTGTGTCAGCCCGTGCGCAATTGGACGCTTTTATTTTTTTAAACGTATAACTTTTTTTATTTTAAAATGCCTCGTATTAATTTTACGTCATTGGAATACACCGATATGGTTTTAATTTATGGAGAATGCCACCAAAACGCGTCCCTGGCATTACGAACATACCGAGAGAGGTATAATACCACACGTGTATGTCCTACAGACTCACGGATTTTTATACGGGCAGTCCAAAGATTACGTGACGGCGAAAATTTGATTCCACGTCAGGTTGAAATTCCTCCGCGAGTCGCCGTGGCTCAGGAAGAACGAATATTAAATTATTTCGCTCGTAATCCAACATCAAGTCTCCGTAGAGCAGCTCGCCAATTCTGTGTACACCACAAGTCTGTTCACAGAATATTAAAAAAAAACAAGCAACGGCCGTTCAAATACGTAAAGGTACAGGCTTTATTAGATAGAGATAAGCCAGTTAGGGAAGCCTACTGTGAATGGCTCCTGAGCAAAGTAGCTAATGACTAACTTTTTAGCAAACGTAATGTGGACTGACGAGAGCACATTCACGCGTAACGGAATATGGAATCGGCAGAACTTACGATACTGGAGTCAAGAAAATCCGCAACTGTGTCGAGAGTCTATGCACCAATATAGATTTGCCGTTAATGTTTGGACTGGAATACACGGAGATCAAATAATTGGTCCCGTGTTTATCGAAGGCAACCTTAATGGGCCTAAATTTTTGGAACTGCTTGACGACACAGTGGCGGATTACGTTGATGGACTATCGTTGGGGGCCAATAGCCGGTTATGGTACCAGCTTGATGGAGCACCTGCTCATTCAGTGGTGGCTGCCAGGCAGCACCTCACTGAGATGTTCGGAGAGAACTGGATTGGCAGATACGGACCTTCTCGGTGGCCAGCACGGTCTCCGGATCTAACACCGTTAGATTTCTTTTTATGGGGTTACATAAAAAATGAGGTGTACTCTACTGAAGTAACGACTGTCGAGGACTTAAAAATAAGAATAATGCGGGCTTTCGACAAAATAAAAAATTTTGCAGCCAATGGTGCCCTCTTTCGAAAAGTCCGAAATAATATCATGCGACGATGTCAATTATGCATTCGGGTACACGGCGGATATTTTGAAAATTTAAAAATTTGATTTGTTTCATAAACTTGAGTGATTTCAAGGTTAAAGTGATTATTTGGATAAAAAAATATCATGAAATTTGTGATTTGTTGATAACATCGGATTAGCATCGCCCTACGCGTGCCTAATTACCTATGTATGGGCAAGTCCTAGGACCTAGGTATTATAATATAATTACCTATATCGATGTCGCATGAGCAATGAACCGCTGGCCGCGACGTTGCCGCTTCTACAAGTCATTTCAGGTCAGTTAAGTAATATTATCAAGGATGATTTATTTTATGTGATTTTTTACCCTATTTATTTTGTTTGAAAGATGCATTTTTTATTAGTTTTTATTATTGTTTATTTTATTATTTTAACAGACATATATCAACTTGTATTAACTGTTGTGCTATTTAACGTGATAACCTGGGCGCCACCCAGTATATACTAGGAACAAACATAAGCTTGTAATGCCGGTTACTAGACTCCACAGAATCAGTAATTCATTTATGGGGCAATGTATACGCTTTTACAGCAAAATCCTAGAACATATTCGAAGTTTGTCAATAAACAAGTTTAAAAGTTTTATTAAAGAAAAACTGTGCAAAAAGGGTTATTATAATATCAAGGAATACATGAATGAAAATAACCCTGGGAATAAGGTGATCGCCACCATGCTGGTTCTATGTCCCGCTGGGTTTCTAAGTCCCGCTGGGTTTCTAAGTCCCGCTGGGTTTCTTGCTGGTTCTTCCCAGGACAGAGGGTTTTTTCGAACCAGTGGTAAAGTAAAAAATGACTTTCAATAAGAATTACACATGTAATGTATATTGAATAAAAAAATATTCTATTCTATTCTATTCTATGAAAAATCATTTAAAAATTGTATAAACGAAATTATTGTTAAGTGAAATATGTTTGAAAAAAAAGTCCCGCTGGGTTTCTTGCTGGTTCTTCTCAGGACAGAGGTATTTTCCGAACCAGTGGTAAATAAAAAATGACCTTTAATAAGTATTATGTAATAATCAATATTGAATAAAAAATTATTCTATTCTATTCTATAAGTATTATGTAATCAATATTGAATAAAAAATTATTCTATTCTATATCTGTTACGGACGGCGAAGGGAGACGCCGCCCCGTCGCCCCTTCATTCCCCGTTACGCCCCGCGCACCCCCTACACCGCTCGGACGTCACGTGATGCCCGCGTCCAACAAGCGCACAGCGACGCCACGTGAGAACCCATCAACGTAGAAACCCCCGCCGCGTGAATATAAGAAGGGCATCGGGAGTCATTCTAATCGAATGATTTAGTTACGATTAGGGACAATAAGTTTTAGTACTAATTAGTCTCAGTTAATAAATAATAGAAGCTATCGAAGTAAAGTTAAAATCAGTCGCTCTACAAAATACAAATATTCAGTACACTTGCTCTCCTACATCGCCCCACTGTCGAACTTGTCCCTATCAATATCTTTGACGTAACGTAACATTAATGGTTATCAAATGTAATATATCGTTTTTAACATGTTGGTCTTAACATGTATCTATAAAACTAACTTGGCAAAGTAACCATACCAATGATGTCACAATGTGACGGTTACTTTGCCATGTTTTGCTATACCTAGGGGTTGTCACTTTCAACCTATATTTTTAACCGTTACGATTTATTTAAAGAAATGGTTTATGTACTTGACATTCTATGTATATATGTTTGTATTTCGTTTTTTTTTATAGAATAAGGGTGACAAACGAGCACGTAGAGCCATAGTCATCTACATTTATCTTAGATTAAGAATCAAAATGCAGATGCGTTGTCACTCCTGAGGACTAAGATGGAACGCCTCATTTCTAGTAAAAAGGGTATCCGGTTCTCTACACTCGCCATACGAAACAATCAGCATTAAGCTGCTATTTTACTCTGGTATACTGTGAGAGCGTGGTCTTACCCCGGTCGAGCAGACCCATTCGTGCTACAACCATAGTATAGCTGCAGCGTGGCTCTACCACGTTTGCATGTTTCACCGTAGCAGCCCATTAGACCGATTTCACAAAGTGAGTCGTCAATCAATTAATCTTTATTAAAAGTGAAGGTAAAGAAAAGAGAAATCTATATTATTTTTACTGCTTTGTTAGGCATTAGTAATACGAGGGCGGCATTGAAAATTTCGGCAATCAAGGAAGTGACACAACATTACTATTTAAAAATGTATTTATTGCTTTTCGAAGTATTCTCTGCGAAATTTGACACATTTTTCCATACGATGGAACCAATCATTGAAGCAACCATTCCATTCGGAAGTTGGGGTCTCCAAAATGGCCGTTTTGTAGGCGTCCACAGCTTCTTCAGGTGATGAAAATCTCTGTCCACGCAATTTATTCTTTATTTTAGGGAAAGTATAGAAATCATTAGGCCTTAGGTCGGGGCTGTACGGCGGATGGTCTAATAATTCTATGTTTTCTTGCTCTAAAAACTATTTTGTTCTGTGTGCGGTGTGAGAACTTGCATTGTCGTGATGGAGGATGATGCGGCGGTTGCAGTTCTCTTTTCAGAAACGACCTGTGGCAAACAAATGCTAGCATACCATTCTGCATTAACCGTTCTTTGTCCCTCAAGAGGAATAGTCGTAACATGGCCGGTTTTGGAGACAAACGTGGCCACCATTTTTTTTTTGCAACACTCCGTGAACGAACAATTTTTGTTGGCTTTTCTCACTCATTTTCTCTCGCTTAAACTCGTGACTGGTTTTTTATTTCGAGTTCGTACGCGTATATCCAGGATTCGTCACCTGATACCGATGTTGTATACAGCATTTGAAAATCCTGCGTGGAATCTTTCGAGAGTTCTGACGCACCAAGTAACGCGAGCCGCTTTTTGCTCTTCACAGAGCGAATGCGGTATCCATCGGGTAAACAACTTTTTTACACCTAATTGTTCATGCAAGTTTATTTGTATTTGACTCATGCCAATGTCTAAAGTTGCCTGAATTTCACGGTATGTCACATGTCGATCTTCCTCAATCAGCTTACGCACAGCATCAACGTTTTCTTGGGTGACTGCAGTTTTTGGACGACCTTGACGGGGATCATCACTGAGCTTGACACGTCCACGTTGAAATTCAGCAAACCAGCGATAAATTGTGGTTTTGGATGGGGTTTCATCACCAAATGCAGGAATCATCCGGTCAACACACAATGTGTTGACGAATTATATTGTTTCTGTTAAACCACTTCGAAAGTCATAATAAATCATCGCTCTTGAATTTTCTCGAGTCAATTCCATTTTCTCAACGACTAAACAAGTTTGATAAAACCTTGTGACAAGACAGAGAATCTTTTTTTAAATAAATAAATGGTATTCGATTTTTAAAACCAAGGTCTTTTCAATTAAAAAGATTTTAATATGACAGGAACAGTGGAAATATTCCATTCCCGATACTTTTAGTGCAGCCTATGTATTATTATTACCGTGAAACCTGGCAACCATTTTGCCATTTTTGGATGGACTTAAAAGTTTAGAACCCATTTTCCAACAAAAAATGTACTGTCAGACTGGACGTCATTGTTAAATGTGACATTATATTCTTTATAGATTTGGTATTTATTAGTGATTTAAACAAATACTAACATTAAATATACAAAATACTCAAAAATAGAAAATGGCAAAGTTAACCTCAATTTGGGGCAACTTTGCTATCAGGGTATGGAGTGTAGAGAGAAGGAGGACCATCTCTATATATGAAAAGTATCCCTAAAAACGCGTCCAATAAGAGTGGGGCTGCAGTAGCATAGGATAAATTTAAAAAAAGCGCCAAAAGTAATTAGAATAAGATGGAGAAATAAACAAGGACCGACCAATCCGCTTGGTTTTATACTACGTAAATAGTTGAGATTTTGTATACTGGCATTTTACTAACTACTCTGTCAATCATGACATTTTTTAAATATTTGAATTCAGCTGACTTCAATCCGTTCACATCAGTTATCTTCATATCGTAGTTTTTCAGACGCCAGTGCTATTGTGGTAGGTTTTGGAACCTGTATTTTCAGTAAATAGTAGGCCACTTTTTCAACTTTCGCCCCTTATAAGATGGTTCTCCTTGTACTCTACACTCCATATATCAGGGTTTATAAAGAAAAAAAAAAGGATTTGACTTAAAGGTTGAAGGTAAGTTTACCTCATAATATAATACAGAGTCATGATTTGCTTCTTTAATTGTGTTGTAAATAGCAAATAACAAGGGTAGAAAAATAGTTGACATAAATGATTGCGTCTAGAAATAACTTATATATAAAATGGGTTAAATTATTTTTCTATGATTTTTTTAAATAAAAATGTATTTTAATTAAAGCCACAGAAAAAAAGTAAAATTTTTGGGACTATCAAATTATTTTAATCATTTTACTCGTACACTATTCAAGTGTTGCCATTTACTATATCCATACTATTTTCGTATACACTTATAAGACTACCAACACCAACAACACCAAGTTATTATTAGTAATAAATATACTATCAGTAATAATAAAAATAAAAGTGATAATGGTTGAAAATAAGTCTCTTAAAAAACTTCCTGCAATAATACATTATCTCAATCATAGTACTATATAACAATTCCATTTAATGTTATGGCAACACTAGCTAACACGAAATGTCACTGTATGGCACAAAGGCCCAGAAGCCTTGCCAGAAATATACATTTATAGTTTTTAGATACAATAATCTAAATAAGGCTGACAAACGAGCACACAGTCCACCTGATGAATTTGAATTTAACTAAATTTTGATGAAATTGAATTAAACTAAAGTTCAAGAGCACTGAACAAAGAGGTTACTTGGCAGGCACAATTCCGCGTTAAAATAAAATGCCACAATTAACTCTCGTGTTGCCATATCAAAAGCAATGCTGTCAATTAGTTATTGTAATTTCATACAAAAATGGCATATCTCGAAAAACGTTACATTTTCCGTGTTAATCGTAATTTTGTACCAGTATACCACCTCCTATGGCAATGTTTCCAGACTTGACTGTACTCGGTATTTTTCATAATTTCAACTGTGTATTAATTAGCACCCAAAAACAGTGTCATTTTTAATGATTATGAATGTTTTGCTATTGTGGGAAAACATTATTTAGATTTATTACAACAATTATTTTTTACTTGACATCATTTGATGATGACGACTACTAAAAAAACGAATTCTCGTTAAAAATTATTGTGACAAGCATTTTTTTATCTATAGTATAATTGATTTAAAGCCTATTATTGCACCTATTTGATTTTAAATTTTAAACGAGTATTTTTGTTTGATATATATTTTTGATTTAGAAATTATTGTGACAAGATTTAAATAAAAAAATTAAGTACGTAATCAAGGGTTTTTGACAACCCCGACACATATTTTCAATTTGTATGAATAATTGAAAAATGGGAAGGCAACTTTGTCACAAGCGTAAATTTTGCTATTTGCAACACAATTAAAGGAGCAAATCATAACTCTGAGTATTGTGTATTATATTATGAGGTAAACTTACCTTCAACTTTGAAGTCAAATCCTATTATTTTCATTATAAACCCTGATGGCAAATTTGTCAAAAAGTGAGGTTAACTTTGCCATTTACTATTTTTGAGTATTTTGTGCATTTACTATTTGTTTAAATCACTAATAAATACCAAATCTATGAAGAATATAATGTCACATTTAATATTGATGCCCATTCTAACAGTACATTTTTTGTTGGAAAATTGTTCCTAAACTTCCTTAAATGTCAAAGTTGCCACGTTTCACAGTACTGCTTAAAACAGACAAGTACATTTGTTACAAGTTTTTGGCTATGAGATAGATTCTATCTTTCATCCTTCTATTCTACTTTCTTCATTAAATGTTTTAGTAAAAAAGGTCTCCAGTTTACACTTACCATATGAAACACATCAGTGTAAAGCTGTTTTTGTATGCTGGTATACTGTGAGAGTATAGTCTATCCCCAGTTGAGACGATAGATTCAACTTGAGGGGGTTCACGCGTTATTAGATATTAGTAATAATGCACAGATTTTCTGTGGAACCATAGGATAATAGTTTTAAAAAAAAAATATATTACATACATTCAAGTCTGTAACAGAGCTGGCTAAGCGAGATCGCGTATGCTTGATATGAACGCGATTCTTCATCGTCTCTAGCGCCAGCGTGCAGTGAAGGCTCGCTGTGTGCGCAAGCATAGACTGTGGCGTAGCCCTGAAACAAAATATGCGCCATCTTTTTGTAAATTTGACGTGACAGATCTCTTTTTGCTGCAAAAAACTAAACAATAATCATAAATGACGGTGATAGTAGTTGTGCTGCTGGTGATGATTGTAGAGGTGGTGGTAGTGATGATGATCGCGGCAAGAAAGAACATCGTTTTATAAATTAGTACCTGTGTTTTATTATCTGCAAAAATCGACTTTATTACATACTACTTATTTTTTACTAAATATTTACCTAATTATATATTGTTACATTACATAATACTAAAACTTGCGTACAACATATAGGTGTCAATCCCGGTGCATCACTATTCAACCGCTTCATCTGTAGAGCACCTGCTAACGATTGGCATAATGGGCAATGAACGATACGCGCGCTCTGTAGATTGCTAATGTATACTATACTTTAAGAATTTACCTCTTTTAGAACCGGGTGTAAAAAATGTGGAATGAGGTTCCGGTTCCGTAGGATCCGGTTCTGCAAGTCTTAATACTGAATACCGAATATCACACGAATACTTGGCCCATAAAAATTTCTAAGTGCATCGGATTCGAACCTTGCGTCACGCACACGGGAGGCGGGCTGGGCGGCGTTGGCCGCAGCGAGCGCGGCCGCGAGCCCCGCGCGGCGCTCGCGCAGCTGCGCCCAGGCCGCCGCGCCGCACCGCGCCAGCGACGACACCTGCTCCTCTGCGCACGTACAACGGACATAACGAAACAACTACGCTACTCTACACCATAAATACTCAACTATAACTGATAACTTTCAAAATAGAACACTCCATTCAAATATTTTTTATGCCTGCCGTTGCTCGTACATTCCGTGAAATTATGGCGGAAATTTGGGGGCTTCTACAATTCCTACGGCACCACGATTCGCTCAGATGTCGACGAGATACGCCAAAAATTAAAAATAAAAATTTTCGATATCTCGCTTAGTTTCCGAGATATCGATACTCAATCATCGAATACTAAAACCGAATCAGCACGCCCCGACTTCACGTGGTCTTGTCTGCCTACCCCAATAGAGTTTTTGTAAAGTCGTAGGCGCGGGGGAAGTAGCAAATAGCAGGCACCTATGCGAGTCATAGCAGCTGGGACTGATCGCCAATGGCGACCAATAAACCAAAGCTACGGATGTGAGCCATCTAGAGTTTCCCCTTCGGGTACTTTCATTGCTAGCCAAGCCCTGCATATCCTATAAATTTGAGCGAAATCGGTAATGACGATTAGGTAATGCCTCCTTGTCAGTAAAACCAAAACTTTGAGAGATATGATTTTTTGTACACATTTAGAAATATCTCAACAAAAAAAAAACGAAATGGCTGCCACATAGAGGGGAAGGGGTTTAAACCTCAGTGTGTACTGAATCTGTGTATTAAAATCATCGATCACTAATATTAGTGATCGCCGATTAAAATATCTATCGCGTTTAATTAAATTGTTTTTATTGATTCCAGACGTTTCGGGTACTTTAATTTTAAAATAACATTTGATTGTTGCAATACCCGCTCTAACTTCGCTTGGGTGGGATTTATTAATGTGGCGTTATTTATACTTAAATGTATTTTTACTAACCCCTAGCTTACGGGCTCTGCCTAAAGTAAATAAATAAATAATAACTATTATTAAAAATTACATCAAAAACCACAACAAATTTCCTAGATTCAGAATAGATCAAAATTATGTTATAGTATCTATTTTAAGTATTATAAGCATATTCTTGAATATTCTACTTAATGGTAAGATATGATATAGCCAAAGATGGAAAAGCTCACTGACTTAGCTTTTTTTGTAATTAGATGGGACAAATGAATGTTGAAAAACTACGTTCCACTACTTTGCTATATGATTAAGTTAATATTAATTGAAAAGTTACTTGCGTGGTGGCAGTGTAAGAATACTCACTACCCCATTTTATTTCTTCCTGTAGTTGTCGTAAAACGGCGACTAAGAAATATGCCAAAAACAACTTGTGGCTTCTCAGCCAGGAAATTATGCCGATCGGAGATGGGAAGCAACGCCAAATTGCAAAATGTCTTATTTTGCGATCGTCAATGTGTTTGCCTAGAGTAACAATAAAGACTTTTCTACGTGGTAGAGCCATGCTGCAGCTATGTTATGGTTGTAGCACGAATGGATCGGCTCGACCGGGGAAGGTCCACGCTCTCACAGAAAATCAGCGTAAAATAGCAGCTTAACGCTGCTGTATTTCGTATGGTGAGTGTATAGAACCGGAGACCCTTTTTACTGGCAAAGAGGCATTACATCTTAATCCTCATGGGTGACAACGCATCTGCATCTTGAGTGTTTATTGAGGATAGATGTACATGTCTATGGGTCACAGTAACCACTTACCATCAGGTGGACTGTGTGCTCGTTTGTCACCCGATCCTATAAAAAAAAAGACAAATCCTCTCTACAATTTTGAATGCCCATGCCCCCTTAAGCTAAACGCACATTTGTCCGCACCGTATGCATCATACACATCATACGCGCCGTACGCGCCGAGTTATACTGATGGCCTCGCACATTTGCCCGTACGCATCGTCCGCGCCGTACGCAAATCTTTTGTAGTTATTTACAACCACTGGTGTGAAACGGTACAGTGAAATTGATCGCTCGAAATCACTATGGAAAGAAATATAGTAATAGCCTGCTTATTGGCAGAGGAAAAAGAAAATAAAATTCACAGAAAAAGAACATTATGGATTCATAATATTAATTTAAAAAGGTAATTGTATGGAGAATATGAAGGGGATATACTTTATTTAAAGACTTATTAGATGATGATGAAAGATTTTTTTTAGATATTTGCATTTAACATACAAGAAATTTCAAGAATTGCTACATATACTAAAACCATATACCAACATACCTGAACCAGAAAAAAGACTTGTTGTATGTTCGAGGTAAGTATTTTTATTGATAATTAAGTAATCAGGTATAATTGGGTATTTGAATTAAATTTAACTATTTTTATGTTAGTTCGGTATTAAAATAATTTATGGCTAAGAATACATATTGACAATCGATGCAAAAAAATTCAAATTATGTATAATTAATTACGAATGAATTAAAAATTATAAAAATATAAAAATTATCATGTAAGTCGAAACCACTGAGTATCATCACGCGCCGAACGTGCCGCGTTATATGACGTCATCAGCATTCGCCCTTCGATATCGTATACCTACCGCATTTTATACAATTCGGCGCGTACGGTGCGGGTGTAATGTGCGAGGTTTCATATGATTTCATACAACGAATTCTAAAATTCGGCGCGTACAAATGTGCGTTCAGCTTTAAACAGACTGATGGAAAAGAAGAAAACTATAACAGAAGATAGAAAAATAATTTTTGCATGTGTCCCCTTCGTAAAGATGTAATAAACTGATTTATAGTTTCCTTTTGGGGGCATTTACAATATTTATCTAAAAAAAATTATTAGTATTATTAAAATATGTACCGGTATCAGCACATTCACTTTGAATTGACACAGCCGACGAGCTTGCGACGGGATTCGCGTTTGAAAGCAGAGAGAGTGAAGCAGCAGTGGACGTCTGACTGCCTTGCCGACGCAGATCAGCTACGCATTTGTCGACCTTATTCTGTGAACAATAAGGAGAAACAATATACTACTATAGGAATATGATATTGTACTAACCAGATTCAACCGTTGAAGTTTTAGGGGATGGACGGGCAAGACGGAGATGATGGGCAAAAAGAATAATTCGTCTAGTTTATTGTCAAATTGTTAAAAATAATACACCGAGGATATGTTAAAAACGCTACCGAACCGCATGCATGTAGTGACGTACGGAATTGGGTTTTTTGTAGAAAAAGATTAATTTTACAAATTAATTATAATTATAACTCAATTTATTAATTCACTGTTACTAACTTACTTGCGTTGATAGTTCAGTTTTTACATATCCTTTGATGTTCATTTCAGTAGTAATACATTATTTTACTGTATTCACATAAACAAAGATGAGAATTTTGATTTCAAAAGTATGGGTGGGCAATATGGAACTGGGTAAAATGTATACTATAATTTTTTTTGTTTTTTTTTTTGCAACAAAATGACTTATTTTTATTAATTTCAGATGGTGTATAACTATAAAGAGAAGGTGATTGTGCAAACTGGTCTGAAGAAAGTTTTTTGGAGCCCAATCGGTTTTAATATCAGATGCTAGAAAAAAATATGGCATTCCGTATGCAACTATATACTGGCATTTGAAATCTGTCATAACTACAAAGAAGCTAAGCCGATTTGAATCTTACTTTACTCCAGGCCAAGAAAATAATTTATTGCAATATGTACAGTAATGGATTCATAATAATTTCTTACACTATGCCTTGAATAAAACTACTTTTACGGATTTTATCGCGTCAGGGAGTCTCCCGTAACCATGGGTGCTGGAAAGAACCCGAGACGTCGGGAATTTAAGAATGATTATAACTAAACGCGATGAAATTCGTAAAAGTAGTTTTATGCAAGGAATGGATTCAGTTTCCTATGGCCTCAAATGATCCAGGCCAACTTCTGTAACCTATGGACCATCAAAAATTGAGAGAAAAAGAGCCCCAACTAAAGAAAGAGTCCAGAAATAATTGGAGTAAGACAATCCACAGTGATACATGCCGAGAGTGGACCCATGAAGTGAACAAAAGAACATGAATTCTAGACCCATCTTATGGGTCTAGAATCATATTTTTGTGAAGACTGCTTTGATTAAATGGTGATTTTGGTTTCCAAACGTTTTGCCCATCAAAGAAATTCGTTTTGCCTGCCCAGGTTAGGCAAAACAGATAATGGCATGATTTAAATAAAATAAATGTTATTTACAGAATGTTTAATTTTTGAGTGGATTTTTTGTTTAAATTTAAAACTTAAATAACTATTGTTCTAAATTTAAAACTTAAGTAACTATTGTTGTGTATTGTGTTGTTTATTGTAGGGTAGGCGAAGTGTAGGGCGACCCCCCACGAGATGGAGTGACGACCTGGTAAGACATGCAGGAAGTCGATGGATGCAGGTGGCTCAGGACCGTGCTTTGTGGCATTCCTTGGGGGAGGCCTATGTTCAGCAGTGGACTTGTGAAGGGCTGTAATGATGATGATAATGATGAACTATTGTTCCTTATAACAAAAAGACTTATTAAAGAAATTGATTTTCTATGCCTATATTTTAATGTAAAACTTAACCTATTGTTATTACCCTACCACCTATTGAGTTTTTTAAACTTTTTAACATAATGCACCTGTATCTCATTTTCATTTCTGATACAGCACAATGAGTTTGCAATTGTCCAAGTCTCCTCCAAGTTATCTTTTCTACACTGCAATTCCTCAGAGACTTGTTGAAGAAGCCACACTCTGCGTTGGAGGTCTTGGATACGCTGACGGGATACATTGCGTTGCGACACTGTAATAATGATGTATAAATTCTTAAGTGCTTTAGTTAATTAAGACAACACAACGTAATAAAATAATTACTGACACATTTTGATTTGAAATATTTCATATTGTTTTGTTTTTCACATAAATTATGATATTTGTACCTGAAAATGTAATCTGTGCTGGAAATCTTGTTAATGCCAGGTGTAAAATATCCAGACTGGTGATGAGGAGATGAAACGTTTGTGCAAGATGTCACTGTGCTGTGATTATCAATCTACCTGCCAAGAGTGACAGCAAATTATCTCTACAATAGGAAAGGTCACTGTCCAGCAGTGGACTTGATTGATTACTGATTGAGTTGTACTAGTAGCCAAACCTCCACATCTAAGCATTAATTTTCTGTGTGGGAAGAAATTAAATATTATTTGAAAAATCCTTATGGATGAATAGAAAGTTTACACAATGAACTTTTACGTGCAGATAAAGAAGAACAAGATAGATATTGTCACAGTGACGAATAATCAAATGCTAAAAATTATGCACATGTAACTGACTGATGAATTATAAAAGAATTAATTCTTAGTTTAGAACTGCAAGTTTAAACAGTTTTAATCTATGGGAGTTAAGTTTTATAAAAATTAATGCTTACCCTTCGTAGTGATCTTATCCATCAGTTGATTTAGTGTCTCTTGAGATTGCTGCAATCGGTTCTCAGCATCGTAAACCTTTTCCTTTAAATCTTTTTGCTGCTGATACAGGCATATTTGTTCAGGCACAATCACATTCACATTCAGATTCTACTGAAAAAAAAGGTTTCAAATTTAATGGTAATTTTTGTCCATGAAATAAGAAAATAATAATTTATTTTTCTAGCTTATATTAATGTACTAAAAATATAAATTGAAACAAAAATAATAACAAAGCTTGTGACATTGAGCCCTTTAAGAAAAGTATTTTTCTTGAGATTTTCATTAAATAATTATTTCTTTTCAAAAGGAACAATCACAATAAAACACTATTAATATATAATAATTTGAGACAGATCTGATGAGATTTGATATATTAATATCCTTTATGATTGAAATATTATCTTATTATAAGCCTTTACTTAAAAAGCACCACATCTAGAGTTCAAGCAGAGTTGAAAGAAATTGACTAGTTGACACTATTTGTGGTGATAAGCTAAATCAAGCAACCATTAATTAACAAATGTCTCATCGTATACCTGCAGCTATAGCAAAACAGTATGGAATCTACCCTTTCAGACTGGATTCTTACTATGCTTTAGAAGAAAATGGTGAAAGAGAAAGTGAAAGGTGAAAGTTGAGATAGTAGTAAGGCACATAATAAGAAGAAACAATGGCCTACATACAACTGGTATGGTTGTAAGTCTCAACATTTAGGGCTAAACATCTTGGCAGAAAGAGGTTTGCCCCACAATTGCCTGCAACATTAGGTGGCTGCTGAACTTCAAGATTTCATTGCTTGAATCATTGGAATATTTCTGCCCACATCCAAGATGGGGAGTTGTGAAGAATAGCCCATTTCAAACCATCTTCCCCAAAGTATTTTATCTCTAAGCTATTTTGCCAGGCCAGCCAATAGCCACATCAACTTTTTTATAGAATAAGTATGACAAATGAGCAGATAGTCCACCTTATTGTAAGTGGATACGGTGACCCTTAGACATCTACATCTATCCTCAATTAAAAATCAAAATGCAGATGCTTTATCACCCTCCAAACATTAAGATGGAATGCCTCGTTTCCAATAAAAAGGGGCCTCTAGTTTTCTACACTCACTATACAAAACACAACAGCATTAATCTGCTATTTCACCTGTGGTGTGTCAGTGGTCCTGCCAGTCTTACATTATCATGAAGAGACATTCCAAACACATCGGTATCGACCAGCAGTGGAGAAAACAGAACAGTATCAAAACTCTGAAATGATCCAAAATTTTACAAACCTGGCTGAAAGCGCTTTTTTTCTTACATATGCTCACATCGTTACAAAACACTTGTAGTCTCTTATCCCTGATAACATTTTTAGGGTAAACATGTTCCATCAAACTGCGCCATACCATGTAGTATTGACCTCTGCACATTCTGAAAACGCAGTATACAGTAAAGTCCTTTGTAATTATATCAATCAGATATCAAAAATTAGGATAAGTTTACATAATATTCATGAAACTTACAAAGTCACTTTATCTACTGTAGGAACTTTCTCAGCTGGACAGCCCATGGCCAAAAGCCATTCAGTAAACTTTTGTGGCACTTCATAGCTACAAAGTTTATCTTCACTCATTATTAATTCTGTTATAAATTCGTGCGTAAGAAAATTTCATTGAAATACATAAAGTATTTAAATTTCAAAATTCAAATATACAAACAAACACAACGACAATAACCAAAGAGTTATTGAGTTGTTGTTACGACTTATTCGGCAATTAAATGAAGCAAAGGTCTTAGACTATACAGCCTTATCTGATGCGTCATATTTCAAAACTTTTAGGAAATTTTAACAATAGCTTCACCCAGCAAACAGTAGATGACAATAATATCTAAAAGAGATATTATCCTCATAAACTGTCCGCGGGGTTAAGCGGATAAAAGAACCTGAAATTTAATATCACCATCGAAGCACATGATACATCGTTCCATTAATAATTCAAATGGACAGACGCTCAATACATTGAATTGTAACACTTTTATGTATCAAAAACTACTTCAAACCATTATTTAAACGATAAAACAGAAGCACCACATCCGCCGGTGGTCAAGTTCCCGCCAAAACTCCTAACCAAAGAGTTGTCGTTGTTGTTACGATTCGCAAATTAAGATAGCCAAAAATCTCAAACCATACAGGCTTTTCTGACTTGCATAAAACTTTTCACAATATGCTGATGAGTCTCATTGCAGGATTTTGGTAGGATATTTTAGACTTTTTAGAACCCAAGGTCATTAGCAGAAAAAAACCTCTGAGATTTATATCACCATCGCAGCATTTGCTATACTTTTCCATTAATATTTCACATGCACAGACGTTTAATTCATAAAATTGCGCTACTTTTAGTAAGTAGATATCAGTATCTTTTCTCCAGTTAAAGACAGCATAAAACAATTATAGTTAATGTTTCTTATTAAAAATTTACTTTCATTATAATTTTAATATTGTCAATAAATTTTATTTTCGTGATTGCATAGAAAAAAAAATACTCACTTCCATTTAAACTTCCTATTCTTTCTTTGTACAACTACAATCACATCACAATCAAAATCAATCACATTAATGTACATTTTGTCTAATCGTCTTGGTGACAACCAGTTTAATTATCTCTATAACAGGCACAGCATTATTTCAGTAGTGTTCGACCTTTGGTCGAAGTATATATCTATCAGTAGCCTTGAAGTGATTGGTACAAATTCTACTGCTTTTGAAAGGCGTCCATTCTGATTCATTTCTTTGTTTACGCAATTCGACACTTTAACTAATAAAAGGAATGTAATGTGCAGTCGTTGCATCGTCGTCACACAGTAGCGAGCTCTTACAGTTGTTTTGTAGAGCCATGCTGCAGCTATATTAGTAGTATAGTTGTAGTACGAATGGGTCGGCTCGACCGGGGAAGGACCACGCTCTCACAGAATACCAGCGTAAAATATTAATTCTATAGTTGTAGCACGAATGGGTCGGCGTGATCGGGGTAGAACCACGCTCTCACAGAATACCAGCGTAAAATAGCAGCTTAATGCTGCTGTGTTTCGTATGGTGAGTGTAGAGAACCGGAGACCCTTTTTACTGAAAAGAGGCATTCCATCTCAGTCCTCACGGGTGACAACGCATCTGCATTTTGATTCGCAAACGAGGATAAATGTAGATGTGTATGGGCCACAGCAACCACCTACCATCATGTAGAATGTGTGCTCGATTGTCACCCTATCCTATAAAAAATCCTATAAAAAAGGATTTTTTTATATATTTATAAGTACTGTCCATTCTTCTTACGATATTTTCATCCTTAAGGAAGGCGTAACTGTTTTTGTTGCATCCTACAGCTATTTCCATTTATTTACCACATAATTTTAAAACGACTTTAATTTCTATGAGTATGTAACATTTTCTATGGATTAGAATTACAATCGTGTCTCAGGAGGGGGGAGGGAGAGTGGGGGGACAGAGGAGTGTCCTCTACACCCTGCCACCACTCCCATAAGAAGGTAATACACCGTTCTTAAGAAAAATTAAAAAATAAAACCTCATAGACCTGACCTCAAAATGATAACATTTATTTCTTCCGGCAGGAAGGGGAGCGAGGACGAAATCAAATGTCAATTAATATAAATTGTAAATACGGCTAGTTGTAAAATTGTTATCATAAGATTATAATTACTTACTTTTATTATTGTTGATTGTGACATTTTTATTTCATTATTGTTTATAATTACAGGTATTTGTAAAATATACCCAGTTTAAAATGTAACGTGTTTCATTATTGAAAAATCCATGTTTTTGTAGATAGAGAAATACTTCTAGATATTATAATTAACCCTCATTTTAACTGTATAGTGGCGGTTTGAAAATATGCACTGAGATGACAAAGCGAAATGAAGCAGGAAATGGGCAGCAGTATCTTGCAAATAACAAATAGAAACTTAAAAAAAAACAAGCGAGAGTGTCGTGGAACAATCGGTTAAAACGAAGTTCCTTTCATAGTATATTATTGATAAACGTATTATATTATTGATTGACAAATACAAACATATTAATTACTAGCATCTATTAAAATGAAGCGTCATTTAAAATCTAAAATAAAATAAATTTTTTTTCATGGCAAGATAAGAAAAAGTGCGAGGGCGATGGATATTATTCCATCTCGCTTCCGTACAGCCGCCAAGGCCGTCTACACTACGTCAGAAGGGGTCATGATGGAAAAATCTTACACTCTTTTTCGCCTAGTCCCCATCCGCCAAATTTGTACCGTCCGATAAGGAACTTCGTTCCAAAAACTGCGGTTGCCAACATGCCTGCCGTGACAACTATGGCAATATCCTCCATAAGAGGCAATATATATATTAGGCTGTAATGAATGAATAAAAAAATCCGAATGTTATAGAAATAGTATTTTGATTGCAATACTGACTGTTTAAAGCGAGACACACTGAAGTCGTCACGTCAGATGCAAGTCTAGGCTGATCAACCGTATTTCATTCCTTGATACGTGTTGTTGTGTAAACGTTATGAATTGTATACCCTATGTTGCTGTGTATGTAATTTTTAGGCAGTTAGTACGGTAAATGTTTTCGGTTTTTTGGAAACGTTCATGCGCTAATCACCCTAATAAAGTTTTATAATCAAAAATCCAATTTCCAAAAATAAAGCTATTTAAAACACACTCTACTCAATGTTACCTTATAAAAATACTTAAAATATTGTACCGAATGAACTTATTAAAAATCTATAATACTAAATTTAAAAAAAAATAAACGATTGCGGTCGGTTAAAACTTAGGTGTATTCGATTTATTTATGGCTAAACTAGGTTTGGTTGGTTATTTTCGAGTAAATCTAGATCTCAGTGGCCCAGAGTAGCCTGAGGGCCACTCAAAAGTCATGTACATTCATCTAAGTAATTCTAAGTAAATTCAGGTAAACATAGGCTTATCATTTATTCTAGCATTACTGGTACATATCCAGTGGCAGATTATCCTTAAGGCAAACTAGGCACGGGCCTAGGGGCGCAAAATAAAAAAGGGGCGCACGCGGAGATTTTTAAAGTAATAAAATAATAAGTAAAATTAAGTTACACAAAATAAAATTAAAAAGTAGACTTCTTACATATAGAGAAGTAGAGCTTCCGAAGCTCGCCCCGTCTACTTGATTACTCCTACATCGTCCTCACTCTCTCATCACATTTTTCATTACTGTGACATGTCCTAATTATTTTGCAACTAAAATATATTATAATTTATATATATTATAGTTTATTTGCAAAAAAACGTAGTCATAATTTATAATGTATAGCGGCCAGAGTGGCGCCGATGAAGTGCTAGCCTATCGGCTAGATGCCATCGGCTTTTAATCCGCCTTTGTACATACCTTGATCAATCAAATCGAATACACATTAGTTAAATCAACCGCACTTGTATGCCTCGTTATAGCTACTATGAAAGTAATATAATACCATTACAGCCTATCTAAAAATACATAAACATAGGCCTCTTCATAGTTTGCCCCCCTTTGCCGTAGTTGTCACGTTTGGCAGGTTGGTTGGCAACCGCAGTATTTTATTATTTTGAGTTGTAGTGAGCAAGATGCTGCTGCCCTTCTCCTGTTTCATTACCCTTTATATCCTCTTAATCCCGCGGTAGTGGATTCTTTTAAGCCGGCACTAAACGGCAATTTTGTATTGACATATTCAATGTCCTTAATGCTTCTCCTGAGAAGCCCTGATTAATAATAACTTTTAGGCGACATTATTTTTATCCTGCCTACTGTCAGGGTGCGCTTTACTTTTTTTTTATAGAATTAGGGTGACAAACGAGCACACAGTCCACCTGATGGTAAGTGGTTGCTGTGGCCCATAGACATCTGCATCTATCTTCGTTTGCGAATTAAAATGCAGATGCGTTGTCAGCCTCGAATACTAAGATAGAATGCCTCTTTTCCAGTAAAATGGGTCTTTACCACTCACTTTTCCTGGTTTTTGCCGATTATTGTTAAATTGTGACAACCCTTACATGCTTATAACAATTTAATTTTTTTTGTTATTTTTTTTTAAATCTTTAATTTTAATTGTTTTTTAAAAACAATTTGTACCGGCGGAGATCAAACTTGTTTTAATTGCGAACCTTTTATGAAACTTTTCAGTGAGAAATAATCCATTTTTTTTTGTAAAATATATTTAATTAATCAAAGTATGGACCGTTGTCATCTATGTATTTTTGCCATCTCATAGGTAGTCCCTTGATCCCTTTACTAAAAAACCATGGGGGCGAGAATCAATAAACTCTTTGAAAGCGGTTTGGACTGCCGCATCGGAATTGAATTTTTTTCCTTGTAAGAAGTTGTCCAAATTCCGGAAAAATGGTAATCTGTTGGAGCAAGGTCCGGGGAGTACGGTGGACGTCGCAGACATTCCAATTGTAGCTCATCTAACTTAGTGGTTGTTTGTTATGCAGTGTGTAGTCTTGCGTTGTCGTGAAGCAGCAGTGGCCTAGAGCGATTGACCAATCTCGGTTGTTTAGCAGCTAGTTCTTCCTTCATGGTTTGCAGTTGATGATAATAGATATCTGCCGTAATCGTTTGGCCAGATTTTAGAAAGTAGTGAACGACACCGGCGCTAGTCCACCAAACACTCACAAGTACCTTTTTCTGAGTCAATTATCGTTTAGGGCAGGATTTGACTGGGTCTCCAGGGTTTACTCATTGCGACGAGCGCTTCCGATTATCGTACAGTATCCACTTTTCATCACAAGTAATGATTCGATTTAAAATCTCTTTATTATTGTATCGGTTGAGCAAAGTAACACAGCAGTCGCCGCGTGTTTACAACTTCGATTCACTCAATTCATGAGGTACCGATTCCCGACGCTTCAAGTGGATTAATAAAGTTTCATCACTTACCCCGAAGCCTGCAGCTATCTCTGAAGTGCTTTGTGATGGATCCGCTTGCACAATAGCCTTTAATTCTTCATTTTCCACTTTGGTCTCCGGCCGTCCATGGGGTTGGTTCTGAAGGTCGAAATTTTCATAATGAAAACGTCGAAACCAAAAACGTACCGTGCTTTCTTTTGCGACACCAGCGCCGTACACATCATTAATCCTTAGAGCTGTTTCTGCAGCACTGGTGCCATGGTAGAACTCGTACTCGTAAATATACCGATATTTCATGTTTTCCATTGTGCGGTAATAAGCGACGCCAAAGAAAAAAATAATGAGGAAAAAACAAATGAATGACTGTTTTCAAAACTCAAATGTATCAGTTAAATGAATTTATAAATTTGAATTTGGAATTCTTAACCAAAGAGGAGATATTTCAGATCAAAGTGGTTAGTACGACAAAACGCTAATTTCATATTTAAGGACCTAATATAACAAATAAGAGAAAAGGCCAAAGAATACTATTTAGTGTGAGTATAATTAAAATTCGCGTCCTCAATACATTGAATAAGCCTTGCCCTTGTGTTTCCATATCAACTACATAAGTACAAAGATCCAAAGTTGACTTTCTACAATCGTTAACACTTATAGAAAAACATACTCGAGGCTTTACATTAAACCACAAAATAAAGCTCTGAGCAAACTGAAAAATATATTTATGCATCCGGCTGAACCATCGCGATGACAATAAGTTTATGCAGTTTCAGTTGGCACGTAATTCGAAAACCGATTTAAGATTTAAAATTAAAGAAAAAAAATCCATCATGTATCTATCAAAAAAGAGGAAAATTTTGTTATTATAGATTTAATCACTGATGTCTTTCAAATTGTCGTTATTTTTATTTACATTTTTACCGTAAATTTTTCAACTAAAAATTTAGTGATACTATAACATAATAATTAGTTCCTATCTAATTATTGTAAAGACAACTAATTGTATGCGTGAGATGTCACATTGAATGAACTTCGAAGTGGATCGTTATACACCTGCTTGGGCACATATCGCCCTTTGTGCGGATCTCACATGGTCTACAGAACCACCAGATGATTTTATCATAGCAAATCAGGTGAATTGATATATTAATGTTACAATAACTTCGGAAATGCAGTTATTTTGATGTAATAAAATCTTCATGTTTAGGATATTGTCTATATAAATTTCAAAATAAATACATCTTTGTTACGTTTATTAGAATTTCTATTATATCTACATATACAGTAGTAGTTTGTGTGAATCTCACAATACTGGCAGTCCCCAAATGGGGCAATGAAAGTCTTGTGAAATTCAATGCCTCCAAAACACAAGCGTCTCTTCACTGCAAAGAGGAGCCAGCTCACCTTGGCTCCTTTCCGAAACGTATCACTGGAATACACTGATCGCCTTCAGTTGTTGGGGGTTGAGATTTCCTCAAACTTAAACTTCGGATGATTCATTGAGTCCAAGGCCTAAGCAGCTGCAAGGAAGCTAGGGGTCCGTGCAAATGTGCAGCGGTACTTCACGCCGGGACTTACTTACTCTTTATAAATCGCAAGTCCGGTCGTGCATGGAGTATTGCTGCCATATATGGGGTGATGCTGCAAAATGTTACCTAGTTGCTTTGGACTCAATGAAAAGGCGTGCTAAGAGGCTTATTGGTGACCCAAATTTGGTTAAAACCAATCACACCAGCCTCGAACACAGGCGCAAAATTAGCCTTTCGGTTGTCTACAGAATGCACTTTAGATTGCGTAACTTAATTCCTCTCTCCCTCTTCCACCATCGTTCAACCAGTCGCTCAGAGTGATTATCTAGTTCTATTTGTTTGTGCGACCAATTATGCGAGATTATTTAGCAGGGCAGTTTTACTATAGCAATTGATATACCACTTTACAATGCGTAATAAATAATAAAATCTAATGTGTAAAGAATGCAAGACACAATATATTTTAGTTTCTGCTATACGTACAGTTCTGTTGTGTAATGTACGTTAATTTTTATATGAAAATCGGAAAAACTTACATAAATAATGTTATGTTCGCTATTACTTAGTTTTGCTGTTATGCAACTTTTAAAACTTATGTTGAATGCCATAAAGAGTAAAAATTCATTAATAATTAAAAATTTTTATAACTATCTGTTTAATAAAAAAATTACCATATACATTACAGCGCCTTTGGGCACAACATTGTCGTGTTTCGCAAGTTCTTCAAGAAACAACATCAGAATCACCACAGGTTATTCAACCTGCTAATCAATGCGGAGTAACAGGTCTGATAATAACTATATTTACTTGCAATTCGTATTGATATTTGCTGCATACCCAAGTTTTATACAACTTCTTAGATTCCCACGTAACGACGGGACAAGAAAATGGAAAATGTTCTCGGAAAAGTGTAAAGGACGTAATACCAGATTCAAGATTGGCTCAATTTTATGGAAATTTTTATTACGACGATATCAGGTTATTAACATCTATATCTGTTTCAATTCGATTTTTTAATACATACTGAGAATATTTTATTACGTTAAATGTTTTCCGTAAATTGAAAGTTTGAAGGTCTTTTTCCGGCCAAATATCTAAGTTCAAATATTGGTTAATATGTTTTTTTTTATTTCAGAGAAAATTCATACAAGATCGCTAAAGAGAAAACACCTGGACGCGGTTATAGCGGTCTTGGATGTGACAATTCTGACCTTACAGAATGCTGGATGCTGCCAGAGGTAAAATACATTTCAATATAATGTTCGCCGTGTGGTGACAGTGTTACCATCCATCACTCCATTTGTACCACATAACGGTGCGTACATATCACATAACATAACATGTTGTACAACATTGTTATATAACGTAACATAAATTTTATATAACTGGAGAGTATTTTTCTCTAGTCAATAAACTATGACGAACCCAGTATGTCTTTTCTTTTGTTATTTAAAAGTACAAGAGTAGCTGCAGCAGCTAGCAAAACGTCCTCTTGTGTCGACATTATGAATAGCACTGCAGAACAACAAACAACAATGCATTGTTCTTCTAATGTGTACAGTATTGTTATATGTTGAAAAACAATGTAACATAACATAATAAATAAAAATGTGGACGTGTTATAAAACAAAAGTTACATAACATGTTACTTAATTTGTACGCACCCTAAGAGACATTTATAGGAAATACCAAAAAGATCTTATGATTTCCGATAGATGCGACGGGAAGCAGTCAAGTATGAAACGCCTGGTATACTTTCCTACAATAGAAGAGGCCAATGTCTAGCAGTGGACTTCTATGTGTTGATGATATGAATGATTTTTGTATTGTGTGTGTGTGTGTGTGTGTGGAAACTTCTTAAGTAAAGACCACTTTTTTATTACTTTTAAAGACACAACAGAAAAAGAGGCATAGGTAACATACAACAGCGGTTGCACTGCTGCTTGTCAATAGAAATAGGTGAGAGGATGGCATCTACCCTGAAGGACTCTTGGAAAAGGAGTCTTTCTTCCTAGTAAAAGAGTAGTTATTTCATTGATACGAATTCAATTCTTTCTAATTAAATAAACCAAGTGTATATACAGAAGAAAATAGTAGTTTTTGTCTTCTGCCCAAGGCTTTTCTGCCCAAGACACGCTCACTGTCCCTACATCAAATTTTTGAAGAGTTTGATAATTTTCTAGACTCATAGGAAAATACTAGTGTAAACGGAAAATTGATTATTTTTCGGCAGAAATCCGATAATTTGTGAGACCATGTGTTTATTCAGACTTTAATTGAAGTCAATGGACTTTTAAATTACAAAGTTTCATACTCTCAAGTCCACCGAAATAAGCTATATGAGGTGTCCCTTATGCGCAAGACTCTTCGGAGCCATAGACGTGCGCACCATTACGAGTTCTGTTTTTAGTCTTTAAACTGAAAACGTGTTAATGTAGGTGTTTACAATATTACAAATATAGGATTATTGGAACGAAGTTCCTTATCGGACAGTACGGGTTTGGCGGATGGGAGCTAGGTGACAAAAAGTGTAAGATATTTTCGTCACTACCCCTTGCCATAGTGTATTTTATTTTAAATAACGCTTCACTTTAATAGACGCTAATAATTTATAATAATATAGTATACGCTATTAATACGCTAATATAAATACGCTAATAATAATATACTATGAATGGAACTTTTTTATTATTATATAGTAGTGATATGGTTTCATAAACATTTTTCAAAAACGCAAAAAGAGATCCAAAGTAACATTCGCATATAATAAATAATTTTATGTATACAGGTGGACTATTGGTTCCGGAAACTGATGGACGACACTGGAGAGCGTATACCAAGACGTCGTAGACAATACAGAATGCCCATAGAGGACGATTTGTGCGTACTATTTATATACTACATAATAATTATTAGGTTTTATAGACAGTGTTGTATTTCAGTGGATCCAAATTTTATATTTAAATTCAAATATATAAATAATGATATAGGTACCGTTATTGCAGTTTTTGAAAATACTATTAAATAAGGTTTCTACTTCTTTATCTAAAATTATCCAAAATTGAATGTGATTTATTGGGCATCAACTAAGCGTACGCGCGCTCATCGGTGTGCGATTCAATTCACAACACTTTTGCCTACCGAACGACCCTTACGAATGTGTGCGTGCGTAGTAAAATACTAGGCTTTAGATATTTATGAATGACAATCAGTTAAAATAATGCATTACCACGCATTCTGATTTTAAGGCTAAGCGTCCACTAGGCTCGCCGAGCCGAGTCCAATCGAATCGCAGAAAGTTGCCTCCTATATATTTATTATGAAACTGCGTCCATTAGCGACGAGTCACGGCGCGCGGAATTGAATCGACCGCGCGAATTGCTTGACAGGCGAATTTCTTCGCCGGTGCGATTCGATTCAACTCGGTGCGCCTCAGTCGACGCGGGAAGCGGATGCGCGCCAACGTATTTTTATTAATTTATATTGCTTAATAATAATCTTGCTAGAAGCTGCGTTGCAGAGAAGCCAGCCAGCCAGTGTCAGCTAAACACATTGTTGTTTTCGGGTCAGGATATCGTTGCTATTTCTGTCACTGCAGAATCATCTACTGGGTTGGTGTGAGAGTTGATAAATGTCACCGTATACTTGTAGCAAAGTGGCGTGTTCAACACAGCAACTTCTTACAGTATTCAGAAGCTATCGTCATATAAAAAAGTCACGACTAAAATATTTCGATTGCTTTGTTTTCTGTTATAAGATTGAAATGTGAAATGATTTCTTATGTTTATGCGAACACTACACATTTAAATGAAACAAATTTTTTACTGATTTTATCGCGTATATGAACTTATTTTATATTATATTATATTCTCGACGTTTCGAGTACTATTCAGCACCCATATCCACGGGGATACTGAGGTGTTCGACGTCCCAGTATTAGTTATCCACGGCTACCTAATTTTAATTATAAACTGAAGGTAATATATAAAAAAATAATTAATATACGCGATGAAATCCGTAATAATTAGTTTCATTGAAATGTAGAAATTAACGGGTACCGATCGGCAGCTAGCGGGCGCTGGGGCCCCAGTGGGGCAGCAGAAGCTGCGGGTGAAGTTGCAACATTAGAGGCCCGTGTCCGTAGTGTTCGTGCACTCTGGGAAACGTCGGAGCACGGTAGACCCCAGCCTTTACGAGCCCCAAGTCCGCCACCCCCGTCACGTAAGATGAGGGCAAGACGAAGGCAGCCTCGTCGCTTAAACATTTGTACTCCTCCACCAGTATACTGCCTCGACGCACCAGCTCAGCTTTGCTACGATCCGACTTGTAAAGTAAGCATTAGTTATAAAATAATAAATTTTAAAAGATTTTTGAACATTGCCAACAACAGAGTCCATAGACAAATGTATTAGAGTGAAGGGAGGATTTCCTGTAACCTTAATAGGAATTGTATATGATACGTACTTTTTTAAACATATTGCATTGCATTGTAAAGTTATCAAGAATTAATCATCATACATGCATTTCTTGGAATAGTTGCCCGTATTCATTACTCTAGGCTGGCAGGTGATACTGATTCCATTCGTTTGCAGGATTTGAGCTCGGTATTTCTTGTACAAATTCCGCCATCAGTTTATCTTCAATTTCTTTGGTGATTCAGCACAGGTGAACCACATATCCCTAACATCCTTTAAAATACGAACAAATTTTAAAGTGTCATGAGAGTTTTTCTATAATTTATACGTTTAGATATCAAATGCATGCATTGTATGCATCAAATCATCATATGCAATACAAGTGTATTTTTCTCAATCATAATTTATCTTTTATACCAAGTATCATTATAAAATAATCGTGATTATTCTCAATTAGTTAAGTTTAGATTTATATCTTTGAAATAATTTGATTTAACCGTGTAGTGGCCATGTACAAATATGCACTACCACATGTTGTTCCGTGGGTAAGTAAGAGGCGACAGAGGGAAACTGAAAGAGGATTTATATGTGGCAGAGCCATGTTATGTTGGAGCTATAATATGGTTGTATCACGAATGGGGACTCGACTGGGGAAGGACCATGCTCTCAAAGAATACCACCTTAAAATGTGTTTCGTATGGTTAGTGCAGAGAGCCGGCGACCCTTTCTATTGGAACCGAGGCATTTCATCTTAGTCCTCAGGAGTTATAACGCATCTACATTTTGATTCTTAATAGAAAACAGATGTAGAAGTCTATAGGTCACAGTTATACTTACCATCAGGTGGACTGTGAGCTCATTTGTCACTCTTTTTCTATAAAAAAAAAGATGGACAGCAAACTGTGGTTGTCGTCAACCCTCCTACCAAGCGTGTATCAGCGGCCAAGTTCCCTTTACTAAGCAATATGTTGATTTAGAGTTAAATCTAAACTTTAATACTCAGTACTGTAAGATAATTATTAAGTCAGCCTTTAAATATTATTGTTTTCTCAGTTTCAGTTTGACTCACCAAGACCACTACATCTAACTGATTGTCAGCGGGCTATGGGCAGATTATCAGCTAGCGTCCAAGCTATCATGCGAGCGAACGCAGTTAGGTGTCCTATGTATCGAGGGACCAATGTGAGTCGGTATATTCCGACTGGCCAGCGACCAATGCGTTGTCCCGACCGACACGGGATTTGGTGGCCGAGAGATCAACCTACGTCAAGACTGGATCGTCGTCTAAAGTTACCACAAGTTCATAACGCCTCTGATGACGTCAATGAAAAGAATGTTAATAATTCCTTGGAAAATACAGAAAAAGAAGACTGTTCGGAAGCAAATGAAAAAGATACATCTAATCCTCAACAATCACCTTCAACGACAGACAACTCCACAGAGAAGCTAGAAAACGCTAAATCAACACAAAAAGAAAAGATTGTCATCGATGGTCAAGCTCCATCTACTAGCGCTGCAGTTTTGGAAAGTGAATTAAGTAGCAAACGACTTTACAGCACCGTTTTAAGTATGAGCGCACCGTCTCCAATCACTTTAACGCCAGGTTGTGTTAGATTAACACAAAAACTAGTAACACCTGGTTTAATTAAGCTTGGTCCTAAAATTGTTTTATCAAATAGAACGCGACCACCGAATGTTGAAGTAAAATTCGAAGAGCTAGAAAAAGAAGCCTTAGAACAGTATAAAGCGTCTGATGAAAGTATTGACACAAAATTCCGGGAGTTAGAAAAGCAAGCGGTGGAACAATATAGTACCAGCAATAGTAACACAAGCTGCAGCAGCGGGAATTCAACGGAAAAACGAACACCAAGCGAACATTCTACGCCAAAAGGAAATCAAAAATCAAGAACACAAATGTCGAAATTAAACAAGGATATATCTGTAGATAGTGTCGTTATATACTCGCAAAATTTTCCCGATCTTAACGCCAAAAACCATACCAAGAGTGCAATCAATTTAAAAAACTTCCACAACCCCCCGAGGGGGGAAAAAAAGGAAAACCATAGGTCCAATAAAAATTTGAGAAATTTTAAAAGTGATTCTCAGCGAGCCGCATCTGATACCGATTATGAAGCAAAGCCTAATCATAGAGGAAATTATAAGGGTCCATTGAGATGGACTTTACACGTGATGCCGCCAAAGAAAAGACATTTAGCCGTTTGTGTATCAGACTTTTCTTCCGATGAAGATATAGAGGAAGTAGCAAATGGTTCGTTGAAAGATGCCGGGCCGTGCATTAAAAACCATATTACTGGTAAAGTCAAAATGTCTGCACATGGCGGAGGAGACTTGAATCCCATTATGAGGAAAATGTAGAATAATGTTAAACATAAATAATATTTATTAGAATGTTTGTATGTTTTTACATGTCTGGATCCGAATAACATTGCTTACAATTGAATTTTGTTATAAACCTTTTGAAGCTATAAGAAAACTGGATGTTAATTTTAATAAGCATCTTAACTATGTAGTCTTTGATGTGAGCTGTCATGCTGCTTACATGAGATCCAAATAAAAGCAAAGGTGTACTGTGCGAAGTCAGCCAAGATGTTAATCTACTTAGGTTGTTTTACTAGTCATAAATGATTTGTATATACATTTTTATATTTTTGCATTTACTAATATATGAGTAGGTGAAAGATTTCAGTTCATACAAAGAAAAGTATGACATTTAAATTCATTAGGTGTTAAAGCAAACCCAAATAAATTTTATATGCAATATTTTATAAAGATTATTATTTGACCAAGACGCAAAAACGAGAAAAAACAATCAAAATCTAAAACAACAACTTTAATGTAACTTTGGAATAATTAACTGATCATATATTTATATTTATAAACTCTAAAAGCTCGCATATCACCACATTTTTATATAGCATTGCTACATCAGCTGGCTAGAAAATTTTCCAAATCTGTTTGGTCATCATCTAATTGAATTTGTTCAAGAGTTATCTTGGGAGGAGCTGCTGACTCTGAAACAAGAAATTAAAATTTAAGATTATGGTCCATATTATTCTTAATTTCATAATAGTGAATCACTTGTCTTTTAGAAAAAAAATAAAAATAAATTATATTCCTGACACAGTCTATTAGTGATAGTAAAAGCAATATTATTCTTTTCATTTTTATAGGCCATACCCGCGTTAAAAAGAAATTTGCATTTACTACACTTGAAGAGAGTACTATATAGTTCATATTTAAGGAAAGCGCTAAATCAACACAAAAAGATGCATTGAAGTAGCAATAGTTTGTACTATTGTTCTTGACATGTGCCAAAAGACGCCGAGAAAAAAATATATGAACACATTAATATACATATACATGGTTATTTTTCGAAGAGTAGCCAAATTTTAAAGTTAAGTTCAAATATATAAATAATGATATACTGTTATTGCAGTTTTTGAAAACACAAGTAAATAAGGCTTCTACTTTTATTAGAAATTATCCCAAATAAAATGTGATTTATGGTCAACAACGTTTTTGCCTACCGATCGACCCTTACGAATGTTTGCGTGCATCATAATCTGTTAAAATAATGCATTACCATGCATTTTGAATTGAAAAGATAAAAAGTACAGAATGTTTGAATTATTTTTTCTTCAATATTTGCCTATATTACTTATTCTGTGTATATTAATGTGTTGCCAGTGATGACATACGGAACTGAGACGTGGTCCTTCACTGCTGGCTGGATGAGGAAGCTCAAGGTCGCTCAGCGAGCTATGGAGAGGGCTATGCTCGGAGTTTCTCTGCGTGATAAACTCAGAAATGAGGATATCCGCAGTAGAACCAGAGTGACCGACATAGCCCAACGGATTAGTAAGCTGAAGTGGCAATGGGCCGGCCATATAGCTCGAAGAACCGACAACCGATGGGGAAGAAAGGTTCTCGAGTGGCAACCTCGTACCGGCAGGCGAAGTGTAGGGCGTCCCCCCACTAGATGGAGTGACGACCTGGTAAGATATGCAGGAAGTCGATGGATGCAGGTGGCTCAGGACCGTGCTTTGTGGCATTCTTTGGGGGAGGCCTATGTTCAGCAGTGGACTTGTGAAGGGCTGTAATGATGACTTATTCTGTACCTTCTCTGCAAAATTGGTCAGTTGTTGCAAAATAACCCTGTATATGTGCAAGATTAAGATCGCAATATCAGAGGCTCGCTTCAATCAAATACATTGTTTTCGATAGGAAATTCGTCTGTCTATTTCATTCATTTTTACGCGAAATTAAAAGCGTGTGGTTTACTTGAAGGTGATCGGCCGACTAACAACCATGCTCATGCGAAGCTCTTGTACAAATTTATAAGTATAACTTCATAGACTGATATATATCGCAATGGGATTTTATGACTCGGGATTTGATTAGCAACCTTATACATAAAACATTTTTTTTAGCTATTAGTTGAAGCTAGCCGGGAACTTTAGCCTCCATGTGCGCTTAGCCTTAAATTTTAAAATAATTATTTAGAACATATACCTGTGAGTATAATATAATCACTACATTTTAAAATCCTGTTACAAAAATAAAGTAGCTTAAACTTATTAAATCATGTGAATAAAGAGATATTTTTTAACACAGTGTAGTTAAATACCACAGAAATTCATAATCAATACTACTGTCTAGAATTCTTGATTAAAATCCTATGGTGTTCTTTCTTTTTTTGAAAAACGTTACCCCCAAACTAGAATTTTCTCCTGTATTGTGGAGGCAAATTACATATTTAATTTGCCCAAGGACAAACATCCAGATTTGGCACAATTATTTGTAGGCTATACAATTACTTGTACCATGCGGGATTCAAACCCGCGACCCTCAGCGCTACAACTCAATGCGCTATGGCGTTTATCACTTAACAGAAAACCTGTTTTAAAAGGATATGTACATAGCCAATTATATCCAAGACAATGGATACAGATACAACAAGAGCCACACCCTCACCCAATATTTTTGGTTTTATACTTACTTGATGGTACTCTTCCAGTAGACAGATACTTGGAAATGTCACTCTCAAATGCTACGGCACTATTTTCCCTTTTGGCTTGAAGTTCAGCAAGTTGCTTCTTTTCTCTCTGAATGTTTTGTTCAGTGTTCTCCTTAACTAGGTTTGTGCGTATCTCTTCTAAAGCAGCTGAAGATAATAAAAATATAAAATTTATAAATACTTGTATATGGGCTGATGTGTGATTTCTTTGTAGATTGAAATAAAACAGTATCAAAGGTTTGCAAAAATAATCATAGATGTAACATCCCACTATTTGATTTTAACAATTTAAATTTGAACTATAATTCAAACACAATACTACTAATTATTGCATTCGTGCTAAGAAATTGTATAGACAATCACAAATGTTATCTAACAAAATTATATAAGTAATAAAATTGTTTGTATATTGTGCATTTGACAATATTGCTCATAGATCTGCTCGATTTTGAATTACATGAGTAATGAGTAATGACCTTATAACCTGTGATGTATTGTTTTAAACATACTTGGACAAGTAAAAGCTTGAACACTTTTCCAACTTGCGTTTAAAACTACTAATATCTGTGTTGGGCATCGTTTTTACAATCAATAACTACTTTATTATATTCAACCCACTTGCCAAAGATAGCAACTACACCACCCTATGAGGCAATCTGTGCAGAAGCTTATCTGATATGAGGCTTCTCTGGACCCCTAGCATGGTTAGCTTTTTTCTTTATAGGAGAGAGGGCAAATGAGCATGTGGCTCACCTGATGGTAAATGACTACCATGAACAACTGTACACCAGGGGAATTGCAGATGCGTTGCCAGCCTTTTACAAAGGAGTAGGCTCTTTTCTTGAAGGTCCCTAAGTCGTATCGGTCCGGAAAAATCGCTGATGGTAATCGATTCCACAAGTAAGTAGTGCGAAGAAGAAATCATCTTCTGAATCGCACAGTGATGGACCGCCAATCATCCAGGTGATATGGATGGTATCGGAAGTATTGTCGCGATGTGCGATGGTGAAATTGAGCGGCTGGAATTAGTCCGAACAATTCCTCAGAGCACTCCCCATGGTAAATGCGATAAAATACGAAAAGAGATGCAACATCTCTACGCAGTGCCAGTGAGTCAAGCCGATCGGAAAGAACTCGGTCGTCGACGATTCGAACCGCTCTGCGCTGGATGCGGTCAAGTGGAAGGAGCTGGCACTGGGGAGCTCTTGCCCAGAGATGAGAACAGTATTCCATGTGAGGCCGAACCTGCGCCTTGTAAAATTGCAGGCGGTGTGCCGGCATGAAATACTGTCCCGCTCTGCTGAGCACGCCAAGCGTTTTTTGGCCAATTTGGCCTTCTCTTTCAAGTGACCACGAAACTGCACGTTACTCGATATGCCGACGCCGAGGAATCCGATACTGGCTGAGGCAACAAAGGTAGTGTATTGACACTAAGGAGATACGACAAAGGGGTTCCTTTTAGCGGTAAACGCGCAAACTTGTGTCTTCTGGGCATTGAACTGGACTAGATTTAGTCGCCCCCAATCCGAGACTTTGTTCAACAAAATCTCGACTTCAGACATAAGTTTGTTCCGGTACTAGACGACGTTTTCCCGAGAAATACTGGCACGGCGGGTGTATAGAGCATCACCAGTGCTATCATCTACATAGTAATGTACGTTACCGGTTTGCAACATATCATTGATATGCAGAAGAAACAGCGTTGGTGATAGCACGCAGCCTTGTGGAACACCAGCGTTAATACAGGCTTGTAATCGGAGCATGCACTGTCTACTACGACCTTGATGCTCTGATCAGCCAGAAAACCGGTGATCCAATTGCACAATATATATATATATATATATATATATATATATATATATATATATATAAGTAGTGTTGCCCAAAATCGGTCTTGGTCTTGTTCTTGCATTTTTGCAAGACCAAGACCAAGAACAAGACCGCCTCTTTTTAGCGAGACCAAGACCAAGACTGACCGTGCAAGATTTGCGCAAGAACAAGACTAAGCTTGCGAGACTCTTGCGTCTTGCAGTTAGGACTAAGTGTCGTTTCAGGGAGTATAGGAGTTCGGGTATACGCTTAGGGACTCTATGAGACGCAAAAAAATATAATGAAAAAAAATTGGATAATTGGACTTATGCGCATTACGAACAATACCATAAATATACATAGCGAATGAAAATATCCATTAAAAGAAAAAAGAGTGCATCCCTAGTTTTGACCATCGGCACTTTGATAGTGCGCGGCGTCTTGTTGTCGGCGTCATCAAAGGTCGGATACTGACCTGTCAAAGAAAGTGTGCAGCTATTCGAAAGTACAAGGTCAAGATACACGTGCCGGCGGCTACTATTGATATCGCATACAATCGTCGCCGCCGCGCCACACGCACTACATTTGACACTGTTTGATTGCCGCCACAGAGTACATGTTCCAAAGAATAAAATAAGTTTACGGGTGCTCAGAATGGACACGAATACATTATCCTGATCTCGCAAGAAATATTGTAATTAGATAATAGGTAGGTATCATAATAATTTATTCTAGTAAGTAATTATTATAAAATTAACAAAATTAAAAGATAAACAGTACAGTTCAGTAAGTTCACTGCAAATCTCGACTTTTTCAAGTGTGTGTTTTTAAAACACAAAGTGCTCGAATATGTTGTCACACATTTGATAAATATGGTTGACACCATAGCACTTTTAAAACACTTGAAATGTGTAAAAATGGATCTGGATCTTGTCTTCAAGGCTTAGTTATTAAGGAGTTGGAGGGGTACCTAGGTAAACCCAGAGCCGTCATCTCGGAAGACATTTTAGACTGTTGGAGGACGCATGAGACAAAATATCCGATTTTATCGAAGATGCAACTTCAGTACCTGCTGAGAGATTATTTTCTAAAGCATCATTAGTAATTAGAAAACATAGAAATAGGTTAAGTGATGAGTTAGCAGTAATGTCAAAGCTGTTGTGTACATACTGTGAAGTAATTTAATTGGCATCGTATTTTATTTTTTATTTAAATAAATGGTATATTGTATAACTCTTTTATTCCATTTCATATATGGTGAGGGTCCATCAATCTCTTTCTAAAGAGATAATGTTATTTAAAATACAGTGTAGTTATTGCCATTAATTTGTTTTTATATGTATGTTTAACCATGTTTTAGCACATGTAAGCTTATTAAATGTAAACGTTTCTTAAGAAACTGACGCCCGTGGCCGTGGGACACGGTAGATAGCTCAGTTGGTTAGAGCATCGGCACGGATCGCTTAGGTCGTGGGTTCAAACCCCACCCGGTGTCAGTTGATTTTTCGAATTTCTCATTAAATGTTTAGACATTTATTAATATGGTTGGTCTTTACTATGGCTATGTTAATTCAAGCTCAATATGTACCTACTCTGTTAAGTTGTTCTAAGATCTAAAGTAGTTTAATAAATAGTAATAGGCTAATAGGTCATTGCAAGACTTGCGAGACTCTTGCTGCAAGACCAAGACCAAGACTAGGAGCGCAATACCAAGACCAAGACCAGGTGTATTGGCGCAAGAACAAGACCAAGACTTGCGAAGTCTCGTCTTGTTCTTGCATTTGGGCAACACTATATATAAGCTATCGTGTAAGTGTAAACTTGCTATGAGATCTCTAACTCTTACAACTGGATTCTCGACGACAGGTGGAATCTACCATCCCGCATTGTGCATGGAGCATCAATGCTCCATGCACAATGCAATGCTCCATGCACAATGTTCCGTTAACACAGTGCTCAGTGCGAAAATCAATACTCTCCCTGGATGTCCATAGTCAAGTGAGCCTGATGGATTACGCCCAATTGTACTGTAGACGTGTGCTCCAGAGTTGTACCAGTACTTACGCGTCTTTTTCGGTTCTCTTACTCTTTAAGGTCTCTGCCCACTACACCGTATCATACCATGACCGTGCTAGAAGCGTATCAGGCACGAAAAGCAACACGATACGCTCTACTATGCCCACTGAACGGATCGATGGCGTTTTGTGCCCGTACACATCCCGTATGATGTCAGTATGCAGCCCGTATGTAACCCGTATGATGCCCGTATGCAACATCCACCAAAACCAATAGGAATCCGTTTCATTCTCGCATGCGTAACAGTGTTGCGTGAACGTCTTGAAGTGCTACCAAATTTTTAAATTGTAAAATAGGTATGGCTATCAGAAAATTAACTGTTAGATAACTGGCGATGATTGCTTTACTGTTGGATGACGTCTCGTTAAACTGAGAACAAATGACTAAGTTACGGCAACGCGCTTACAACGCCTATATAACGGTCATCATACGCGTTTACAGCCCGTATACTAGCCGGCTCGCCGCCGCGCAGCGGTTTGGCAACGTCGCGTGTCATGCACAGAGCGTGCAAAATATTCTCGTTTCTCGCCGACATTTGTTGACGCTCCGTGCATGGCACGCGACGGTGTTGGTCGGTGACGGAACGGTCTAGTGGGAACAGTGTCATACTTTTCAATACAAATAATATTTATTTGCCTGACACGTTCCTAGCACGGTCATGGTATAATACGGTGTAGTGGAAAGAGACCTTTAGACCTTTCAAGTTCCGTTGGATTTTCTCATATGTGGAGTATTGAGGTCGTAGTCAACATTGCATGGTCCGACTCCAAGCCTGTGAATGGTGGTGATCCACAAGGCTGTGTGTTATCTCTTACCCTATTCCTTCTGCATATCAATGATACGCAGAACGGCACTGGTGATGCTTTAAACACTGGCCGTGGTAATATTTTTCGGGGACACTTCGTCTAGTGCCGGAATAAACTTAAGTCTGAAGTCAAGACTTTGTTAAACAGTCTTAGATTGGGGGCGACTAAATCTAGTCCAGTTTAACCACCAAACGACACATTTGCGCATTTACCGTAAAAAAAACCCTTTTTGGTATCTCCTCAGTTGCACACTACTCTCTGAGACTCGCTGAGGCAACGATGGCACTCCCTTCATTGCCTTAGCCGGCATCGGAATCCTTGGCGTCGACTTTTCGAGAGATGTACACTTCCGTAATGCATGGTAGGGAAATCTAGGCTGGCATCAAAAAAGCTTGGTGTGCTCAGTAGATTGAGACGGTATTTCATGCCCACCGCTTGAAGCTTTACAAAGCGCAT